GAGATATAACCATGACCACACCTCCATTACACAAACGACCAACCTAAATATTTAAATTAAGGTTGTGAAAATTTTACTCCTTCAATACTTTTTGACACCACTCTTTGATACCACACATTTTAAAGATAAGATCAGACAAGATAAGATAAGATCATTCTTTATTTATCCCACAATGGGGACATTTACAGTGTTACAGCAGCAAAGAGCAAAGATTGCAAACAAAAAGTGAACACAGTACACAATTTAAATAAAAAAAGAAAAATTAAAAATGTACAAAAAAAACAATCTCGCTATTTTGATGATTGATGGTATCAATAAGTACTGACGCTTTAATAAACGGTATGTATTTTATAAGACATGTTTAAGAGAAGAATGAGTCCATCAACAATTGTATTGGCAATGTTGTTATTTGTGCAGTCCAACACACAAATCCCAATGTTGCCAACGTACTTGTGCAATTTAGACTACAAAGTGTATATCTACAATTTTTGTAAATCAAAAACAATTTACCATCGATCATTAAAAATACAGAGATTGTATAAAAGTATTGGGGCGCCAGTAGCCGTTAGTGCGTGCACCCCAGGTACAGAGCGGCGCAGGTTTGAATCTGACCAGTTGCTGCTTTCCTGCATGTCATTCCCTTCTCTCTCTTCCCCCCGATTTCTGACTGTGTCCTATTTCTAAACAAAAGCAACAAAAAAGCCCAAAAATAAACCCTTTATTCATTTTTGACAACATTAAAGGTGTTAACGTGGGGTTTTGTGTGTGTCATTTATGAACAAACAGATCAGTGATCAGAGACACAGACTGAGCTGATTCTGTTTCTCTGTTCAATTCAATCTGAAAACTTTTTGATTCAGTTCTGCTCCAGAGCCTCACAGGCCATATGTACAGCAGGCAGATATGAACTGAATCCATGAACGCTCAGTTTCCATGGTAACCAGTACGCCTGGGTCCTCAGGTGTGCGTGCTCTGAATGTGAACGAGGTGAGGCAGAAGTCTGCGAGTTAGGACCAGTTTGAACCTTTACATCCTACAAGCTAAAGAGTGACATGTTTTCATGTTCCCAGGATGCACTGGGGTTACTGTACTTATTGTGGTGACCTGCTGTGTGTCACAGTCGTTCAGCTGTTTGAAAGTATAAGGTAAGCTGAGTGAGTCCTGCTCAGTCTGCTGCTCCTGATCTCAGCAGGTCCTCACCTGAGTGCACATGGTGTCACACCTGAACTCTTCCTCTCTCTCTCTGATGAGCTCAGTTCATGAAAGTCATCTGTTGTGTTTTCACAATCTTGTGTGTGTGTGTGTGTGTGTGTGTGTGTGTGACTGAATAAAGGGATTGGTCCCTTCATCATTAAGTTCACTAAGCATCCTTAGAGATAAAGCTTTTTTTTCTATTCAGTGGTGGTTCTAGACCACTTTTACTGAGGGGGCCAAACTGGGGCCAGTTGTTTTGTCAGAGAGGAACATTAAACCCAGGTGAAAAATAGACAAAGATGATCACTTTAAAAAATGTATATTATGCCAAATAATAGCGCACATCATTAAATACCATGATTTATATTTGTTTCAGTAAGAGTATTTAATACTAGATTGTGAGGGGGGGGGGCTCTTCCTTTTGGAGGCGTGGCCACATGGGGGACCAAGCTCAGTGTTTCAGGGGAACTGGCCCCTGTTGGCCCCTGCCTAAAACCGCCCATGTCTCAAAGTAAGAGATGTATTTCTTTTTTTTTTTAAGATTTGATTTTGGGCATTTTGTGCCTTTATTAGAGAGATAGGACAGAGGACAGAGTCAGAAATCAGGGAGAAAGAGAGTAGGGAATGACATGCGGGTAAGGAGCCACAGGCCGGATTTGAACCTGGGCTTGCCCGCCTGGAGGCCTACAGCCTCCACACATGGGGCACGCACTCTAACCACTGCGCCACCAGCGCCCCAAGAGATGTATTTCTGTTTAAGTGTTGATGACAGTCATTGGTTGCTGAGTGGATCCAGCTTGCAGTATAGTTGTTCTGACTGTGTTAATGTGAAGATCAGCAGGTTTCTGTTCAGCCTGAAGATGTTTCTCTGTCAGAGGAGCAGAATGAACTCAACAAGCTCCACACTGTTACAGGACAAACACCGGAGCATTTGTGCTGAGCTGAACAATAACCTTGGTGGGTTATGATTCATTATTCTACAGATTATCCAGCTGATCAGAAAAGTCTGTCACAGAAACACTTCAAACAGTCCCAGTATGAACCAGATATCGTGAAACTGTCCTGACTACTGCAGCTAGGATTCAGATACAGAGAGGGAGGGGCCTAAACGGTCAATGTAGAATTAATGTGATTACAGAAAAGGAGAGGGTCCAAACTACACAGAAAAGTGATCAATGTAGAAAGGCAGAAAATCAAGAGCACTGTAACCAGCACTGACAGGCGATGACGGACAGGCAAGAGGCCGACTCACACCGTCAGGAAACACGCAATGAAAAGAGTCAAAACTTTAAAAAAAACAAATGAAAACAAACATTAAGAAAAGAGGATTTCTGTCGGCTAATAGCAGAGATAAAACGGTGTCAGTGAAGAGAGGGAGGGACAGTTTTCTGTATCATGTTTACAAAGCTGCTGCTCAGCTCCTAACAGGAACACACAAGCGAGAGCACATCACTCCTGTCCTGGCCTCCATTCATTGGCTCCCTGTCAATTTTAGGATCCATTTTAAGATCTTGCTGTTTGCTTACAAAGCATTGAACGTGCTTGGTTCCATCCTCCCTCTCCGACCTTCTACAGCCGTGTGTCCCATCAAGGTCTTCGAAGTCTGCTGATCAGTCACTTCTGGTTGCACCTAACACTAGTGCTGAAGCATAGGGGAGACCGGTCCTTCTCAGCCGTAGCCTGAAAGCTAAAAAGCTAAAAGCTAAAAGCTGTATGCTTTGCCGTTCTGAGACCCAGTAAAAGGGTTTGTTTGTTTCTATGGTTTTTGTTTTGTCTATTGTTGTTTTTTCTTTTCTCTTTTAATGCATTTTATCTATTTGATGTAAAGCACTTTGGTCAACTCTGTTGTTTATCCTACAATTCTACAATTCACTTAGCAGATGTTTTTATCCAAAGCGATGTACATCAGAGAGTAAGTACAACACAAGCAAGGATCTAGAAGAAAGGGAACAATGTGAGTAAGAGCAAACGATCATCTTTGAGTCTGATTGGACACACAGGTGCTGACAGGAAGTGACCAGAGACAAAGCACAACATTGAGGGCAGTTCTTGAGAGCTCTAATCAGTATAGAAACCATCTTATAAGTCATCGTTATCAAACAAAAACCATCGTCATTACCATCATCATCATCAATAATATGGAGACCATCATCATTAAGTTAGTAGGTATTCATGAAAGAGCTGGGTCTTTAGCTTTTTCTGGTGCAGAGGGTTTATAAATGTGCTCTATAAATGAAGTTTGATTGGATTGGACACAAGGGGATAGTTCAGTATATATTTAAAGTGGGATTGTATGAGGTACTTGTCAATAGTGGGTGTGTTAAGCTACAGGAGATGTGGGTCAGCTCGTCCTCTTGAAGGTGAGACCGGTCAGAGTGCCAGTGTTCTGTTGAGATGTGTTGCCTTTTAGAAAAATGCTCCCATAGCACAAAACGATAGCAGAGGCTATCCGTATATCCCCTATCAAATGATGCTGCCGGAACAAAAGAACTTCATATGAATTCTCTACTCACTCACATATATGCACGTCAGAGTTTGGAGAGCAAGTTTTAGTGCTGCATTATTTAAGATTTCAGGGAAAGTGTGTCTCCATGGGCAAGTTACCCCACAGCCACGTGGTAGCACATGTCAATGAGTAGGACTTTTTGTTAGATCACTGGCACAGAAGCTATAACTGTTATATATCACTGCGGACGGGTCTGTTTGTACCACATCATTTTGATAATTTTACCTCAAACATACTTCATCATTGATTTTCAGACCTAAAAACCAATGATGACCAATTCATCAATGAAGCAAACCTATTTGTTGCAGCCCTATTTGTGCTAACATATACGTGTTCATCCACCTTACTGGTTCATTGACAAACTCTTAGAGGGGCCGAGCTGACCCACATCTCCTGAGGTGGCTGTGGATCAGTGGTCAGTCATCTCTCAACTGTTCAACCAGAAGGTTGGGGGTTTGATCCCCAGCTCCAGCAGTCAAATGTTGAGGTGTCCTTGGGCAAGAAACTGAACCGCAAAATGCTCCTGCTGCTGCGTTAGCAGCGTGTGAATGTGAATAAATGGATTTTATTTAACAAAAAACTGACACTTTGCATAGCATCAATCAAATGTGTGAATATGGTGTGGAGGGGTAAGTGTGATCTGCTGTGTTAAAAAGCACTTTTTTTGTAAGAAACCTCTAAAAGAACTATACAAGCTCAAGTCCTTTTACTGTTTACTACTCAAGTGCCTCATACAACCTCACTTACCCAACTGTCCCTTTAAGTGCTCTCTTTTATAAGATGTGTAACTTTGTAAAGCTGTGCCTCTTAGTGTCGCCCTTTAAAGATTTGAACCTGAGAGGACTTCCTGATTAAACAAAGAAAAAAAAATAGATAGGTCTATACCCTCTCTTTAATTCTTCTCTGATGTTTAAAAGCTACTGCTGGTAAAATCACAGTTTTTCTTAATGAAGTCTTAAAAACATCTTCCTCTTGAACAAAAGGGTCTACCTCTGTAGGGATCCTTTCTGTAATGTTGTCCGACAGTTAGACTCACAATCTGAGTCTGTCAGTGACAAAAAGCACTTTGATCCATGAAGGATTATGTAGCAGACGTACAGTAACAGCCTGTTTCACTGCTGCAGGGTGAACTGAGCGACTGGAGACATCTTTGTACCTATTTGTCATTTAGTAGTAGTAGTAGTAGAATCATGTTCATTTAGAGCCAGAGTGGATAAACACAGAAGCTCTGTGACATGGCAGCCGACATGATGATTCATCAGGGTAGAGTTTATTAAAAAAATAAAAATAAAGACGGTGACTCTGTGAGCAAGAACCTTTTTTATTGTCTGCACTGTGTTGAAAAACAGCACTCCCTTTGTGCAGTCAGTCTGCAGGTAGATGGCATACAGGTGACACTGCCTAATGCTGGAACATTAGGAATTCATTGAAACATTCCTGGTGAAATAAAAATGTACAAAAAGATCCCTCATGACCTGAAAAAAGTTTAACAAAAGGAAATAATAATAAAAAAAAAGTCTGGATTTAATACTGTGCAAAACGTATCTCTAATATAGACATGGTATTCAGTCGGTCAGTGGGAGAGAGGAATGATGTGATAATAAATCAAGTCTCTTTGCGTCCACATTCACATCAAACAGTACAACTAAACAAAAAGAAATAACAAAGGCAGTTCAGATTGCATTTCAGTATCTACAAAATCAGCATTTTAACAACCTAGCTATGTACACTGTACAGGTTTAACACAAACATACATCTTTACAAAGAGCAGGAGCTGTGTGCAGATATCACAGGACTTCCCAGAGGACGTGCTGATCAGTGACCTGCAGTAAGGTTCCTCTTTGATACCAAAGATACAATCTGTAATTGCAATGATGGATAGCATGGAAAGTACCGAAGCTTTAAAAAAGAAAACTACATCTATTTCATAAGACCGATGTGTAGGAGAGGAATCAGTCCATCAAACATCACAGACAAACTCCTGCACACTCTCTAAATGTGTTGGCAATGTTCTGTACTGACATGCAGGAGTTTGTCTGCAATTTTTTGTTAAAATCAAGAAATGACCCAATGTTGGGTGATTAGGACATCTGTTGTTGTTGCCATGGTATCAAACAGTTGATTTTTTACTAGAATCATATTCAAGTTAATAAATTTGGTATCTTGACAACCCTAGTTTGCATACATGTTGAAGATGCTACAGAGGAACAGGAAACTGTGGATGCACGTGTTTGCTCCTCATGGCTTTAGAGACGTGGCGTGCCAGCATTAAACACATCAGCTGATCAAATTAAAGATCAAATATGGACTCAGGCTCTCAGAGCAGTGCAGCTGGTGCTGGCCAATTATTTTTGGCAAAATATTTTAAACCTGCAGTCTCATCGTGTGCTTTACAAAGTCTCTCCCCCATGACACACTGCCACCTGCAGGCTGTTAGTGATATGGCACAAAATTTAATTAAAAAGAAAAAACATTGTTTAAAAAAAACAACAACAAACCAAATGTAACCAGTGCAACAAACACAAAACAAACGCTGAAGCCAAGAGCAGCTGCTGTTACTCAGTTTTATCTTAATATTATTTTAATTCTTTTAGATCTTAGCGCAGCTTTTGATACTGTTGATCACACAATTTTAACTGATCGTCTCAGACATTGGGTTGGTTTAAAGGATACTGCACTTAGCTGGTTTTACTCTTATCTTTTAGAAAGAACCTTCGCGGTCACCATCGGTAACTACTCCTCCTCTACCTCTAACATTACCTGTGGTGTACCGCAAGGTTCGGTTTTAGGTCAGGTTTTAGACAGGAAACATTATGAGGAGAGAGTGGAGGATGACGTGCATCAAAGGGCCCAAGAAGTGCAAGACAACTGCTCGGCTATCTGGCGCCCCAAATATTATTACTATTAATCAATTTGTTTTCTATACAGGATCAGGTAATCCAGATCACTTTAGTCCTGGTTCTGTAAAGAAAAAGTCGATACGATCACCATGATCCAGGTACTGACTTTTAAGGATTTCTAAATCCAGATCACCAGCTTTAAAGGAGACACTACATATTTTGTCCACAGGGGGAGCCAAAGTCCACATGAAGAGGATGATACTCACAGATGCTTGAAAATGTTTGATATTTATGCTGTTTGGTGAAATATTTCATGTTTACTCTGCTAATGTGCACCTTAACTACTTTGTCCCTGAAGAAAAAAAAACATTTTAGCCCAAAATATGTTTAAAAAATATCTGAGTATATCAACTACACTCAATATGTTGTCTTGGTTGTCCAATACATTGATTTTCTTCTTCTTTTTCGTCTGAATCAGCCCTCTGCTGCGGTCAGGGTGATCCTGATTTTTTTTGAGGAGGTTTGATCAGGATAAAAAAAACAAAAAACTGAACACTCGATTACATAATCCTTTTTTTCTGTTGAAAAACAAGTTCACAATACTGGATCCAATCTGATATGTTAAATCATAAACACTTGGTCTCTGAATGTTCACTGATTTTTTGATGACAACATGATGATGTCAGTTTTCTGGATCAAATCTGTTGGTGTGCTGCTCAGATTTATTTCCAGGACTTCCTGTTATCTATTGATGGATGAAGCATTCAGACCCTTTACTTTAGTAAAAAATTATAAAGTCAATCCAAACCTTATGTGTGTAAACATGATTTAGTTTTCATTTTACATTATGATTCATTTTTAACCAAGGATCATAGTCTTCAAATATTAAATTAAGAGTATTGTGTATGTTTTTTTAATGTATTCTTGGTCTGATGAGAACATCCTTAAAGCAGACTAAAAACAACAGCAGCTCTTGACTTCTGCACAAACGTGGTACAAACATACCAGTGGAAGCTCACTGAACATTATGATGGCTGATGTTTCATGGCTTTGCGGGAACTTTATCTTTTTTTTTCTTTTTTGGACAGGAGCGAGCACATTCCACATTAAACACATACATGGCTCTCTGAAATGTGTCCAGAACACACTTTTTTCATCAGTAAGCTCGTTCTATTTTACAAAGTCTGTACAATCTGGAAGTGCTACAAAAATGTACAAATCCAAGAGGAGGGAACAGAAAAGGAGGATTTAGTTTTTTCTTATTTTTTTTAGAAAGAGGAGGTGTGATGGACGTTTGAAGGAGCAGGGAACATTACAAACTGTTTCACTTTCATGATTGTCCTTCTCTTTCCTTCACTTTACCACATCTGTACATGTCATCTCTAAAGATCAATCTGTCACATTCTCTAAACCGCTCTGAACACATGTCCATGACTCCCTACTGCAGCAGGGAGGACACTTCTGATTGGTCTGTACAGCGGGGGACACTGACATCACACAGACTGGTTTCATCATGGTGGATGTTGTGTGTACAGTGTTTGTTTTAGTTGGTGTAATGTCTCCCTCTGTGTTGACATTCATGTGTCCTGCCGTCTGCTCCATGTCATCCTCCTTCCTCCAATCATCTGTCTTACCATCACACCTCTGTCTGCTGCTGAGAGTCTGTGATGATGGTCACTCCTCGCCGCAGCTCATCCATACTGTCAAAGTCACTGCCGTGTTCCGAGTCGTCCAGCCCACAGGGGGCAGACATGTCTGAGGCCGACGACGCCCCGACAGACAGACGTATGTTCACAGACACAGAGTCCTCGGTGTCTCCCCCGTTTCCTGGGGTGACCCCGCCCCCTGACGCACCGAAGTCCCCGTGGGGCTGCTCACCCAAGGGCAGCTGGTGGGGGGGGCAGGTACTGGCTCGGGTGGAAGTGCGGCCTGGCGTTCTGACGGCCTGCGCTGCCCGAGCTCAGGGTGCTGTCCTTGGACGCCGGGGGATTGGCGGCCAGCGGCATGTAGGCCTCGGGGTAGTCCTCAGCTGTGGGCAAGGGGGGCGGGAGCTGGTCCTGGGACAAGAACACCTCATCGTGGGGAGGCGGGTAGTCGCTGTCAATGTCGTAGCCCCCCAGATAGTAGTCTGACTCCAGTTCACGCGTGCTTCCTGTGAGGCGGGGGGCCGACCCTGCCGCCTCACCGCCGGGAGCCTCCTCGATGTCGGACAGCCGTGTGCTTGGCATCCAGTCCGACGTGTCCCAGTGATACGCTGCACGACAGAGAGTGGGGGGGTTAGTCATGATCAGGACTGTGACAGAAGACAGCGCCCCTGTGGGGGTGGGTGGGTCACACTATGTTCCATACATACATGCCTTCCTTTTAATAAAAAGGTTCTGCAGGTCAGCCACATGACAGGAACAACCTGAAACATGTTTATTTTGGGTGGGGGGGGAGGTCACATGCAAAGCAGGAGCCTCTGAGGGAGGGGGGGTTAAAGGTCACAGCATGCTGAAGAATATCAGACCCATGATAACAAAACAGCAACATGTGACTCAGACGTTGTGCTGGATGTGGTGGATTGTCCCGCTGCTCAGTGATTACACAGACACACTCTGATGTGTTGTCATGGAGATGATGGCTCAGGTGTCCCCTGTCACCTCTGTGTCCCATTTTAGACACCACGGCAAGAACAGATCTTTCTCTGATTGCTACTACTGATTCGATACTACTGAATGATGCACCAAAGGGGATTTAGAATTGGAGACTGAAAAATAAGCAGCTATATGGCGTATAATACCTTTACTTCTTAGGTTCAACAGAAGTGGTATGAAAGTCGGGAACCAATCCCAAGTTTGGAAGATGTTATGACCCTACTTTTTCTGGCTTTACCCATTGATAAACTTCACCAAACTGTTACCATCAACGTTCGGATCATTTGGGGTTTTTAGAAACACAGACACAAACTATGACGGCATCTTTGGTGCCGAATCATGAAGATTCTCACATATTCTCATTTTGACCATAAAAGTGATGATGTGTGGGAAACAGCACTAAATATTAAATACTGTTTTATACACATAGGGTTGGTTATTAAGGATTAGCCCAGAGTACTGGCAACAGCAAATTGGACATTGGAATATTTATCTCCTACAACCAAAAGTCATACTTTATAGGAAATGAGTCAGAGCTTTTAAATCCTGAAGGCTTTAGGCATCGATGCATGGAGCATCAAACAACTCAATCAAAGTGAAACATTTTAGATTTTCAAGTTAAGAGCCACCCACTACCCTGGTCCTAATGAGGAATTACCTCCGACTCACTTCCTTTAAAGAATGTATATGAAGTGAAAAGTATCACAGTATCAAAGTATGTATATATATATTTGTGTGTAGGCTTCTATATTTCTGGTATGTGTGTATAGATATGTTTATATATACATATACACTTAGATTTTTCACTTTTAATTGTCTTTATTTGTACATAAACTTTATCTTAAGTGACTTTGAGTATCTTTTTGACCATTAAATTCATTTCTTTAGAAACTGCTCCTTGGGAGGGATTCTCTTATTTGCAGGTGAAGGACTAATGGTGCATTTATGTGGTGTCAGACACATCGGAAAAACAAGTTTCCCAGTTGTATGCCTGCTCAAGTCAGAACAACAACTGGGAAACTCTGGAAATAATAAGGTGCCCGACTTGCCTACTTGACATCATATTTGTTGTCAAATATGTTCTGTTAAATTACTATCATTAATTCACATATTGCACATCAAAGTTTTTCTCAAATATGTATTGTAACACATACATGTACTTGTAACAGTGACATTCCACAGATTTTCTTCAGAGCATCCACGTTGTTTTTTGCTGGAAGAACGACTTCCCACCTTGTAAACTGGGACCATCTGAGGAGCACATGAATGCAGCATGAAGTGATCTCTTGCTGCATTCATGTGCTGCTCGGGTGGTCCAAGTTTCCGAGTTTGGAAATCGTTCTTCCGGCTTTAGTGTGTTCAAGTGATTTCAGTTTGGAAAATCGTAATGTTGTAACAACAGCAAAAAACAGCGTTGATGCTATGAAGAAGAAGATCCGTGAAATGTCTCTGTTAAAAGTGATATTTGAGCAAAAAGTTAATGTGCAATATGTGAATTAATAAAAAGTATGCTAAAATTAACAAAACATGTTATGCCCCTCGACGATGACGATTCTGACATCAAGTTGGGCACCTTATTATTTTCCGAGTTTCCGAGTTGTTGTTCCGAGTTGTTGTTGAGTCTGCATTTTACAACCCAGAAACTTGTTTTCCCGATGTTTCCGACACCACATGAATGCAGCATCTGTTACGGACTGATAGACTCTGATTGTTAAACGCTTACACCTGTTGATTCACTCGCCCTTCTGTTTCACCACTTGTTTCTGTAAGTTCCTAAAGAAGTTTTTTTTCTTTTTATTATCTCGTTCTACCTTTAGAACTTGTCAGTTTAATGAAGGCCTTTCAACATTTTTCTTGGTTTCTTTCCAGTTTTTAAGACCTTATTATGACCTTTACCAAAAAGCTCATTTTGTCTTGTATTATTACTAGTTCTACGAAGCTCCCTTGTTCCTGGATTTGTCTTAAAGTAGTGACTGGTGACTCTGGCATCATTCAGAAATACTCTGTATGTTGTCTCTTGTGACAAAAACACTTCACCAGTTGACTAAAACTGGCAGAGCATTTGGAACAAATCTGTCTCAAAAGGAAGATTTAAGACAGTGCACTTCTAAAATGGGACCATGCTAGTACTTGCTAAGGCGTTAGCATTGACCCCTTGGAGCCAATCATCTCCTGACCCATGATAGAAGATGATTCTCATCACTTCTGACCAACCAGCAGGACAATCCCACAAAACTCTGAAACACCATATTCAAAAGACAAAGTGAGTGGAGTTAAACAAAGCGATGACAAATCAAAGAAAGAGGCGTCCATGCATCGCAGCAGAACACAAACCATGATTCAGTGAAAACCTCATCAGAACAAACTGGAACAGAACATCAGCGAGCTGCAGATACAAATCATAACAGTGACGACATGGTGGGATGCAGGAACGGTGAGAGCAGGCAGAAAGCTGTTGGGGTTGTGGGAGCAGAGTGTCAGCCAATCAGCACAGCAGAACAATGAGCGTCCAACAAGCTGTGGGAGGGGCTTCACATCACATTATATGTGCACACAGAGCTCAGACTGGAGAAGGAGAGCAGAGACTTTTCATGGACAGAGAGTGGAGGAATGACGGCAGAGCCAGAGAGAGGGAGAGAGAGAGAGAGAGAGAGAGAGAGAGAGAGAGAGAGAGAGAGAGAGACAGAGAGACAGAAAGTCAGAGGCAGAGAGAGTAGACAGAATAACATCAGTCAGCAGAGACTGCTCTTAAAGTCTTTATATGTGATTTTTTGATCCAGTAGATGTCGCCCTTGAGCACCAGCATGAAACCAAAACAACTCGTGCTGCATTGTTGTGTTAGCATGCTAATGCTAGCGATCTTTATCATGCTCGTATCTTCACACTGCATGTAAATTTACCTGAAATGAGCGTGATCTAGAAACACAGTTAAGCAGTGAGTACAGTATGTTATTCTTCTTTTCTCTAGTCCCTCAATTAAACAACTTTTATACACGAGGGGAGGAGTCAGCCGGCCGTCCAGGCGATGTAAACAAAGTGAAGATAGGACTCTGAAAACTCTGAAAACATCACAGACAGTGGGACTCGGGTGTTACACCCATTGTAGACAGTCATGACTCACAGAGTTATTTTCAGAGGAGATACTTGATTTCTATTACAGTGTGAAAAATCACATATAAAGCCTTTAACAGGAAACGTTTTAATCTAAGATCTGCTTTGTTCTCTATCTTTGGGTGATGTCTGACTGTGGCTCTGATAGATGGTTAAACCAGCCGGTTGTAGAGTGTGTGCTTCAGGTTGAGGAGATCAGAGTTGTGTCTGAGTCTCTCTTTTCTTTTGCCGCAATCAAGACACACAATGTATTTTGTAGAGCAGAGAGGGGCCCCCCACCACTGCCAAGGGGGTTCTCAACTTCGGCAGCAAACAGCACCAGCAGGGTGCTGTGGCCTGTTTGTAATGTCACTGATTCCACCTCTTAGCACCCCCTTTGCTGGGCCCCCGCTGCTGTCTGGAGTTTTAAAAACCTAGTCGTCTGTCTGCTTTAATTCTGTTTACCTTGCAGTTTTTCATAACATTAAAAGTGTATAAAAACTAAATAAAAAATGTTTTCTCATTGACAACTCAACCCTCAACAACTCAACCTGGCAAGTCTCCTCCCGTTGCTAGCTCCACTAACCTAAACGCTACTAGCCAAGCAAATAAACATGTTAGGAGGAGCACCCAGCTAGCTGCAGGAAAGGAACAGTGCTGATGAAAACTTCATTGGTAAGTTGTTTCATCATTATTTGTGATTACGTTTAGATGCTGGTCTTTTGTTTGTGGGTGCATGTGTTGTAGACCGCCGCGTCTGCTTGGTTATCGTACTGTATGAACGGCAGGCCATTGCTGTCACACTGTTTACAAAGTTTGTTGTGGTGCGTGGGTTGATAATGTGTGGTTTCATTGTATTGTCTGTTTGGCTGGATGAACGTCCAACTTCACTGAATGTCAAACTGTAGTTGCCTTCTATTTTGGGTTTCCTGTCCGGCTAATGAAGTCTGCTTTACTTGTTTAATCGGTGGAATATGCGCACAGACATATCAGCACTTGTTCTGCTTAAACATCAGCAGGTCACTCACTGATAAGTCCCTGTCACTGTAATAGCACCCTTTGTAATCTGCAGCGACATTTCTCTTCGTCCCGCCATGTCTTGTATCTCCATACAGCCGATATTATACCATAAATGCTATACTATATTACTTTATAGGCTACAGCATATGCTATATAGCCTATAGACAGTTTAAGGGCCCACTATTGGTCCCCGCCCCCTCTGCAATGAGCCACAGGCTCCGCGCCTGGGCGTGATTGTTTTGTACTGTGCCTGAGCACAATTGTCCCCCACCCCCCCTCTACCCCACTGGCCTGCGTTCACATGACCGAGTAAACTTGCGTACGTACACATTCAGATGCAGCAGGTGGCAGTATGTACATAGTTGGTTTGCAAATCCGCCAAGAAGCAGAAAGAAGAAGCAACCATGGCAACCACTCACAGGCTAAGCCTATCCTCATAGCTGGATGTTTTTAAAATGTATTTCTGAGACGCCAACAAACAACCCTCTTCCTACTTCCACCTCCAGCCTGCAGCTCAGAGGACAAAATAGTCTCGTACTGTGCGTATATGATGGTTTTTAAAGCAACAGGAGCCTCATACTGTATAGAGGTACTCAAGCACTCCTGAATCATGCTCGAGTTCGACTGTACTCGGATCCTGGCCCGTGTCCCTAATGTTAAAACCACCCATAGTTATTTTGTCTACTCCCTGCATAGAGAGATGATAGAAGAAGAGACAGAGAGAGACAGGTGATAGAGGAACAGGTAGGTGGTGGGGGGGGGTGAGGGTTGAAGTACCTCTGTTGTAGCTTTGACCGTGATCCATAACAGAGACTGTCAGATGAAGAACAACAGAACAAACAGTCTTTAGATTCAGATCATGACTAAATGTTCTCAAAGTGTTCTGACAGGACAGAAGAAGATTCACATGCTGGGGGAGTTAATGTGAGTCTCTCAGGTGTTCTGTGTTTAAGGTGTGTGTTTGTAACAAACTGCATGAATAAGCATGGTATACTCTCTGAATGTATCGTTTTAATAATCTAAACGAGTACAGTGTGTGCTAGTGATGACAAAAACTAATCAGACCTATTTCATTTTTTGTACCAGGCTGTAAACATGTTTATGTGTATTTGACTTCCTGGAGCCAGCCTCAAGTGGACACTCGACGAACTGCAGGATTTCTTAAAATACAAATGAGCTGTGTCTGACCACGCCCCCTCTCTTAAAGGGGACTCTACTCGGGCTTTCTCGCTCCATGTCCTATTGTTTACAGTGGGAAGGCAGACTCAGAGGGCAGAACAAACACCTAGCTTTGGGAGTGTCACCCACCTGGGGGAGGAGTTACTGCCCTTTGTGATGTCACAAAGGAAATATCACAATGATTATAATGAGTTAAAATGACAAGGTGTCTGATTTTATCTATACTGGGACCATATTAAACAACAGATATTTGACAGAAAGAACAACTGTCATGTCGGCCACTACCCTGAAGATCCAACAGTCTGCAGGTTCTTACTCTCACCTCAGACTCCCTCAGTGATCAACTCTGTGTAAGTAACACAGAGGAACTCTTGAGTGAAATCAGGTCATCGAGGTAGATCAATACCTGCAGACTGTGGGCTGTCAAGGGGGACGAGGCTTAGTCACCAACTGCTCCCTGAAGTCTGTGTGTACTGAGAGCTAATGAGAGAGGAGGTGTGATGGACTGAATGACCTCTGAGGAGTCATAATCTGTGGACATTAATCTCAACATGTCAAACTGTGAGAGAATGAAACTGTTCTACACACAGTGTCCCAGTATACAAGCACCGAGGGAGAATCTTTTTATTAACATAAGTATGTCTGACTCCTCTGTGGTAGGGGGTGCTATGACCCCCCTTTCTGCTAGTTACCATTGGACCTTCTTCTGGTTGACCTCGCTGTGGAACGCTGAAAACTTTAGGGCTGTACATTTCGTACATACGCTAACTTTTGGTTCTTTGTGATGCATGCTATCTCTTTAGTTTATGGTGATATCTGAAGGCAGACAACAACACAACTTCTGCTGTGCTCTGCATTTATGTCGTTAAACTTCCGGGTAAAGCCCGGGGCTGTAACTGTAGAGCATGCTCAGGACACAGAGGCCAGTTATGGTCTGATTGAAGGAGTGTACATGCAAGAATACATCCACCTTAACCTCATTGTGTTAGTCCAACTTTGAGAAATTTTACTTAGCATGATTTCAGTCAGACTAACATGTTTACATGCATCTTAAAAGTCCAGTTTTAGTCGCACTAACACAGAAAATCTTTTTTTTTCTAACTGCATGTAAATGTAATATATGCAAGTGTGTTCAGCTCTGTTAGAGGAGATTCTGCAGAGACAGAGTCAGATCAGAAGCGAGCAAGAGAGAGAGGGAGAGAGAGAGAGAGAGAGAGAGAGAGGGGATGAGACATGGTACCTTCACTCTCGATTGTGTCGACTGCATCATTGACCAGTCGAATGACAGTCACTATGGAGGCTTGTGGAGGGAAAAAAGGACACAAGTTTTCAAAAACAGTCAGTCAAAGTGAAAAAAAATCTCATCATGGCCGCCTGCTGCTGTCAGTCCTGTGTGCAGCAACCTGCTCCGCTCCTGACATAGGCAACGTTTCAGTCTGATGATAAGGGGCTGGTTTGCACAAAATATTCTTCAGTTTTAGTGAAAAACACTTAAAATCAGCAAAGAAAAAGACAAAGAAAATGACCTTCATAGATGCAAAGAAAGCCACATGAGAACAAAAACATATCAAAGCAAAACAACAACACATTCCTGCAGGTTTCTGACATTTTAGGCACAAAAAAAAATCAAATTTTTAATCAACATGATCGAAGGCAAAAAAGGGGATGTTTTAATTTACGACCATTCTGAAAATTAAAACATTAATGATTGTCATGGAATCGCAAATAAAGTCCAGAGCAAAGAGTATGATGTGATGATGAAAAAGATGAAACCACAAAAAAGCTCCTGCACGAAGACCACAAGCACCAACAGCACGACCGTGAATCAGCCAAAACCTCCAACAATGTAGCGGTGGAATCTAAACCATATCAGGCACAGAGGAGAGAGAGTTTGTTCAACTCTGGGGAAACATTTTTTTTAATTGTTGGGGCAGAAATAATAAGTAATTAGGTCATTCATGTTCAGGGGATTATTGTAGTAAAAACATAATTTGAGTCTCTGTGGTACAGTCAGATCTTTTCTATGTGACTTTATTAAACTTGTGAAGCTTTTAGAGTAAATAATGCAGATTATTTGAGGTGGTTCAATTACCCACAATGCACTAGCTCTTTAACCATCCGGTCTGAAGAAAAGCACCTGGATACTGAGAAGAAGAATTTTAAACCAATGAAGTGTGTCTTACCGTTATCGTCACACGAGTCAGACTGGAAGGAGCTCAGTGATTGGACCTCTGAGTTGCTGCCTTTGTTGCTCCCTGAGAAACAGGTCACTTCCTCTGCCATGTCGGCCATCTTACCTGTGTGTGTGTGTGTGTGTGTGTGTGTGTGGTGTGGGGGGGGGGGGGGGTGCACACATGTTACATGTTTTAATTTTTTTTTATTGCAAGACAAGAGACAATACACTTACGATACAACACAAGAGACAATTACAGTAAGCACAGGCCAGAAAAGAGGTATATTCATGTTTTACTTGAGTGTGTGTGTGTGTGTGTGTGTGTGTGTGTGTGTGTGTGTGTGTGTGTGTGTGTGTGTGTGTGTGTGTGTGTGTGTGTGTGTGTGTGTGTGTGTGTGGAAAGTCAGCCTGTCTCCATTGATATCATAAAAATGCTATTTTGTTTTGTTGATGGTGGTGATGACAATGGTGGCAATAATTACGATGAATTCTGGATGAATATTGTTATAATTTCTATCATTACTTCTTTAATCATCTATTTTTTATTATTTTTTGTTTTGTTTTTTTGTTTCGTAGTGAATTTGTATTTGTTGTCCTCTTTTTTCTCACTCTGACTTTCCATCCACACATGTTTATATGCTTGGACACAGATCAGATGCTGCTTGTGTGAAGATAAAACAGACACTCACCCTCGTCGCTGTCCCAGGGACACTTGCGGAGGGAGTCGCAGTCGGAGCGGCAGGGGGACACCGCCGGCAGGTTTGGGGCCACGCTGCAGACCACCACCCCCCTCCTGGTGGTCCCCGACAAGATCCTGGGGGACTCTGGGTGGAAGGTGCTCATCTCTGTGTGCTCCACCCCCCGGCCGTCCACCATCTTCTCCAGCGTAGACCGCGGGTCGCCTTGGAAACAGGGTGTGTACGCCATGGGCCTCACGGGGACCTGCGGGGGTCCCAGCATCCCGCTGACCCCCACCATGGTGGGCTCTGAGTACAGGTTGAGGGGGTCTCCTGGTGAGCAGTGCAGGGTCTTGAACTGGACGCCGTTCGCCTTGTTGAGCAGCGCGGCGGTGGCGGGGTCCTGGACCAGCGACAGGTTGTTCCTGGAGTAGTTCTTCTGGAACACCTTCTTCCTGAAGGCGATGAAGAGGATGATGAGGGTGACGATGACGAAGAGCACCACAGCGATGCCGATCAGCTCCTCCTTGCCCACCACGGCGTGTCCCGCCTGCATGTCGGGGACGACGACGGGCCGCAGGCTGCAGCGCTGACCCACGAAGCCTGCCGTGCAGTTACAATAAAATGAGCCGTGGGTGTTGACGCACACGCCACCGTTCTCACACTCGCCCTCCGGGTTGCTGCGGTCACACTCGTTCACGTCCTCCTCACAGCTGGAGGGGGGAGGAGGGGGGAGGAGGGGAGAGATCAGAGTGAGAGAGAGTGAGGACAGTTTGAAGGAGTAGTTCCTGTGTGTCTGTCTTTAATCAGCTGCTTTAAGTTCAATATAAACTCTGTAGAGCTGCTAGCTCTAACACACTCAGAGAGAGAGAGAGAGGTATATATAACCTTGGTATATTCAAGGTTCTTCATGTCACAATACATGACTGGTTTGTTTGTAAGGTATTTGTATTCAATGTTTGATATCCTTAAAGAGAAACAAAAAAAAAACAATGTCTGAGTTTACTGTAATTGTACTTTTCTTCATTATTTAATTTCATATGTAAATGATTATAATGTGTATTGTATATTTTGCTTTGGCAACATGTTTAACCCAAACGTCATGCCAATAAATCCATTTGAATTTGAATATGAATTTGAGAGAAAGAAAGAGAGAGAGAGGGATAAAGCTTGTCGTTAGGGACTATGACCTGAGGTCGTGAAAATGTTGACTACTTTGATACTTTTTCAAACCTTGTGTTTTAGAATAATCAAACCGGTTGTTTAATTTATAATAATAATAATAATAATAATAATAAATTCAATTTATATAGCGCTTTTCTAAATACTCAAAGACGCTTTGACAGGAAACAACAAAAAACAAAGCAAAAACTAAGAGAACAATACAACATAGAAGTAGTGTAAAGGGATGAGGATGAGAGTCGGTGGTTGTAGGCGGTGATGAAAAGGTGAGTTTTGAGGGATTTCTTGAAGGAAGTGAGTGTGGGGGAGTCTCGGATGTACGGTATTTAAAAACCTATTTAACTAATAAATTATTTTTAGCATCTCATAAGGAAGCATATTATGTTATGTTTATGTCTCTTACAAACAGACAGAGGAGAGGAGCAGACTCTTTTTAAATTGCAGAAATACGTTGGCAACAGTTCCGTACCAGGATTGCTGGCGACCTTATTTTATATAATAGGAGAGTAATAGAAGAATAACTCCAAATCCCAATGTTGCCAATGTATTCATTTGATTCAGACTGAGTAGTGTTGTAGTTTAGGTGATGATAAATAGGAAATTTCCTGATAGTAGGTGTCTATGACTTCTATTATTGATGCAGTGCTATCAAACAGGTGGTTCAAACTATGGTTGGATTTTTACTAAGATTATATTGAAGTTTAAAATTCAGGCATCGTGACAACCCCTACTTGGTCGAGCCCCTAGTCATGCTGCTTTAGGACGAAGATTTTTTTTTTCCCTAACGACAGAAAAGTTTTCTCTTCATCTCCTCTGATCACACTCAGCACAAATATAAATGTGTGATCATTGAATATAAAGTTGAATAAAGTTAAATTGATTTTCTGCAGCGTCCAATGACTGTCAGGCTGTTTGTTTGTGTCAGTGACTCAGAGCTGCAGAATGTGAGACACACACACACACACACACACACACACACACACACACACACACACACACACACACACACACACACACACACACACACACACACACACACACACACACACACACACACACACACACACACACACACACACACACACACACACACACACACACAGTGATTCATGTGTTTGATGGTTTTCAGATCTAAACTGCCCCCTGCTGAGAGTCCTTCACATTGAGAAAAAGAGGATTATAATTCAATTATAGAATTCTTCAGATGTGATTTCATAAAGAATCAGTCTTTGATGAAATCAGTTAATCAGCTGGTGTTTGTGTGTGTGTGTGTGTGTGTGTGTGTGTGTGTGTGTGTGTGAGTCGCCCCTGTAATAACCAGTTTGAGTTCATGTTTATGTGTGTCAGACTCACGTCAGGCCCTTGAATCCTCTCCTGCAGCTGCACAGGAAGGCGTTCCCGATGGTTTTGCATGCTCCTCCGTTCTGACACGGGTTAGGAACACATGCCGTTATCTCCATCTCACAGCGCCCCCCCGTGAACTGGGGGTTACAACTGCACGAGAAGCCTGCAGAAAGAGAAAAAGAGAGAGAGAGAGAGAGAGAGAGAGAGAGAGAGAGAGAGAGAGAGAGAGAGAGCGAGAGAAGCGATGTCAGACTTAAACCAACAAATGGATTCATCCAATGCAATGCAATGCACAAAATAGTCCCTGAAACTAGAGTGAGCTGTTTAAAAAGACTATTTTGAAAACACAACATTATATATTTCTGGTGTTTGTAAAGACTTCAGTAAAAACTTGGAATTTGAAGCTCAGAGAACATTTAGGATAAATGAAACCAGTCGCATATGTTTTAAACATTATTCTATTAAGACATTCAATTCAAGAAATTAAATAACCCATAATAAGAAAAAGAGTGTCTGAAAGTAATATCTTAACTTAGACGTTTGAACCCTTTGAAAACAAGTGTTTGTCCAAATGTCCTTTAATCTATTCATGATATAAACTATTATTTTAAATGTTTGGTTTTTATTGTGCAAATCTTTTAATAATTGGTACTTTCTTATAGTATACAATTTCTATCCTAAAAAGCTTTTAATAAATTATGACCTGACCATAATATTCATCTTATTACACTTTGATGGCGTTCCAATTTTTTCTTTGAGTTAACCTTTATTAAAACTAATCCCATTTCTAAATACACTCTGTATCAGTCTCAGAGATAAAGTCCTGCAGAGTACAGGTCCTGAGCTGACTGCTGTTGTCCCGATACTCACCACCAGAGGGCAGGCCTGTGCAGGTGGCTCCATTTCGACAGGGCTGCTGCAGACAGGCGTCTGGGTAAAGGATGCAGCCCAGCTTCATCTCGGTCAGCCCCACCACCTCAGCGTATCGGGAGCGTTTGTTCTGCAGCGGCAGCTCGTTGTTGTTGAGCATCACAGAGTCTAGACAGCCCTGAAACCCCTCCAGCACCCGCGGGTCCTTCTGAGACTCCATCAGGCTGCGAGAGTTTGGGTTCTGCACCTGAGGAGTGATGTCATCAAAGACAGAAGACTGTGTTCAGGTTTTGAAAGGTGGGCGAGAAAAAGTTTTAAATCATGTCATCAGAGCCCCCCCCACACACCCCCTCTGTGACCCCCCTGAACTGACCAGAGCTCCAAAGTAGATGGTTCTGTCGGGAGCCAGCGGCTGGATGAATGGTGGTCCGCGGCGTCGCTCCACGTAGCTGTCGTCGAGTGCTAGGCTGCTGTAGTTCCTGTTGATCTCCAGAGTGACCGTGTGCCAGCCGCCGTCATTTATCCTCCGACCAGAGATCCCCAACATGTCATCAGAGGGTCCGTCAGAGAGAGCGCAGGTCAGCTGGAACCACAGCTTCCCCTCCTCCAGCTGATCACACACACACACACACACACACACACACACACACACACACACACACACACACATTATGGTCTCTAAAGGTTCAACACTCTGACGTTGATGATTTGTTAACTTTCCTGCAGCCCCACACTGAAGCCTACATTTGTGTTTTTGTGTAAAACATTTTACTTTTGGAAGTTTGAAACAGAATATGACGAGTGATCCCTCGTTATGAATTCATAGACGACATGAGAACAGAACAGTCTGAGGCTGATAAATTCCAGATTACTGACACTTTCTGTTGTAGGATACTGATTTTAAAATGATAATAACATTATTAATGGTCTAATAACTTTTTAACCACCACTCACTCTGTTTCCCTGGCAACCCATAAGGGTATGACTAATACCTGAAACAATCATTCCACCTGCCATCCCAATATTCTTTATGTCCACTGAATCTTTAACTCAGCTGTTAGCCAGAAAGCTAACACTACGCTAACAAGATTCACTGACATGCATACAGTGAATACAAATTTGAAGAATATTGAACACAACATAAAACTAATTCAGGGTTACGAGTAGTTAAAAGTAGGTCAGGAAATATGTGACACTGCAGCCAATCAGAATCCAGGATTCACCCATCCATGGTAAACACGATGTTTTCTATCCTGCAAGTCAAATTCTGCTTTTGACTATTTCCACCTCAATTTCCCTCAGTGTTTATTTGATTATTCAGCCTGGAGAGAAAACAGTTTAGTTTAATACCACAATCACCATCTGAAATGTTCTAATAGTGTAAATGTCCCCTGAAAATGTGTGTGTGTGTGTGTGTGTGTGTACGTACGTGTTTACCTTGAGCACGGTGCAGGGCTCTGTGTGTGTGTGTGTGTGTGTGTGTGTGTGTGTGTGTTTACCTTGAGCACGGTGCAGGGTTCAGTGTGTGTGTGTGTGTGTGTGTGTGTGTGTGTGTGTGTGTTTACCTTGAGCACGGTGCAGGGCTCTGTGTGTGTGTGTGTGTGTGGTGTGTGTGTGTGTGTGTGTACCTTGAGCACGGTGCAGGGTTCAGTGTGTGTGTGTGTGTGTGTGTGTGTGTGTGTGTGTGTGTGTGTGTGTGTGTGTGTGTGTGTGTGTGTGTGTGTGTGTGTGTGTGTGTGTGTGTGTGTGTGTGTGTGTGTGTGTTTACCTTGAGCACGGTGCAGGGTTCAGTGTGTGTGTACATGATGATTCCTCGGCTCTGCAGCGTTCTGATCCTCAGGCTGAGCTTGAGCTCTGTCTGAAGGCGCTCGGAGAGACGGTACTTAATGTAGCTGTTACCTGAGAAACTCAGAGACGAGTGACCTGTATACACACACACACACACACACACACACACACACACACACACACACACACACACACACACACGCACAGACAGACACGCACACACAAACACACACACAAGTTCATTAAACAATTCTTATATCACCTTAAGAGTTTGTATAAATGACACAGTCAGTCGTTGAAAAGACAGACACACAAACCTGCACACTCTCCCAGTTTTCCAGGGGGACACTGGCAGGCGTAGCGCCCTCTGCTGGCCTCGATGGAGACACACTGCATGTCTGCGGGACAGGGCTGGTCCTCACACTGTTCAGAGAGCACAGCACAGCTGGAGTCTGCTCACACACACACACACACACACACACACACACACACACACACACACACACACACACAGAGGAGGAGATATATTTTATATTTATATTTATAAACATGAGAAAGTATTTTAAGTCTTTAATTTCATAATTCTGGTAAACACATTTATTTTATGACCCTTGAGGGTTTCCGTAGACCATGACTGAACTATGTAGAAAAACTACAAAAAACAGATTATCATTTTATTTTTTTTCTTCATAAACACTCAGTGGCCCCTCCCCTCTGTGACTCACCGGTGCAGGTGCAGCGCGAGGTGCGGTGGAAGCGCGGGGACACGAAGCTGATGCGTGGCGTGCTGTACGTTGCGAGGTTGTGCGAGTCCAGGATGATGCTCTGCTCGCACTGCGCGCCACGACACTCCAGCCCCGAGCAGTTCTTATCCAAGATGGCCGACACCCTGAGCACCTCCTCGAGCCGCCGCCGCGACGCGCTCAGCTTCTGCGTCAGGTAGGCCGCCTTGTAGTAACCCTCCCCTGCCGTTTCCACGGCGACCAGCATGTCCAACTGCTGGGTCCCGCCCACCGGCTGCAGACTGAGCATGTGCAGCTTGTCCTGCTGCTGCGAGGCGGCGGCCTGACGCAACACCTTCAACACACTCCGCATGTGCAGAGCCACAAAGTCCTGCGGCGCCACGCTCTCGAAACGCACGGTCACCGCTTCGCGCAGCATTTCCGGGGTCGCCTGCTCTACGTGCACGCTCACAGGCACGGGCACAGCAAAGCGGCCGTCACTCACGCTGGCGTTCAAGTTGTAGCGGCCAGCGTCCAGACCCCCCAGAGCAATGATCTTCCCATCGCGAGGATTGATCTTGAAGAGGCTGCGCTGGGCCGGGGGGGCGTGGCCAAAGGTCAGAGCGTCATAGGGATCAGCATCGGTGGCGTGCAGTTGGCCGATCACACCTCCAGGAAACTCGTCCTCCATGGTGACGATGTGAACCTCTAAAGGTAGAGCTACAGGGCGATGGAGCGACTCCTCAATCACTCTGACCGTCAGCATGGAGGATGAAGAGAGGCGGGGCTTACCCGAGTCTGACACCTGCGGGGGGTGGGGGGGACAGTTAAATATCTGTACATGGGGGCGCGCTGGTGGCACAATGGTTAGGGCGCACGTCCCATGTATTGAGACTCTCGTCTTGAGCGGGAGGCCCGGGTTCACTTTCACCCATGGCCCCCCTCCGCATGTCATTCCCCGCTCTCTCTCCCTGGTTTCCAACTCTATCCACTGTCCTCTCTCTGCATTAAATGCACGAAAAAGCCCCAAAAATAAATCTTAAAAAAATATATATATATCTCTACATGATCTTCAGTCTGACAGGAAGTCACCTGCAGAGGTGAATCTGATCAGGTTACATCCACTCCGTTTCATACCATTTAACTTGTTTAAGGTTTCAGCGTCTAGAGCAACAGTTTGTAAACTTTCAGACATAAAATTGGATTCAAAGTGGATCTAATAACTTTCAAAGGGAGAATGGCATCTCTCCTATGCACATGTCATTTTGGAACAGTACTCTTAAGCCTTCTGTGTGTTTTATGACAGTGCAGTTGCATGCATGGACCTTTGGTGGGCGCTAATGCACACTAAACCAGATTCCCACATATTGTTGCTTTAAAACGAAGAGAGCAGGCAATTACAACTCAACATGATTGAACCTCTGGATATATTAATAACAGCAAATTGATATTTACAGACTTTATTAAATGATAATTTTTTAAAGTCATACAGAAGTGGAATTATTTTTCTGATAATCACTGACATCTCTTATAAATACTGCCCTGCAGTTAACACCAACTCCCAGCAGACAGTACATTTTCACTACAACTGCGTGTAGCTGTTAGTTTGTAAATGAAGTGCTTTCTGCAATCAGGCTTATTTGCATTAAAAGGGGTCCCAAATTACTGCATATTGGTTCATTTAAATACACACAGCACCAGAGCACAGAGAATCTGTTTGCCCTGCAGCGCAGTTACGGCAGCATTTAACACTTTATCTGTTTCATAACATTAGAAGGTGTCTTACTGACTCTTTTGCAAAGGTTTTTAGTAATTTATTCTTACATGTACCTGTATCGGTGTATCACACCTGTACCTGTATCGTTATATCATTACCTGTATCTGGATGACATATTCAGTAGCCAGGTCTCTCCTGAACACCTGATTGGCCACCAGCGTCCCATCTTTCTCCAGAACAAACTCTCCTCCTGAGTTTCCTGACAGGATCTTGAACTCAAAGGGGGGGCCATTGTGGGAGGAGTCCTGGTCTGTCACCGACAGCTGGAGGATGGTGGTCCCAATAGGCTTGTTTTCCTGGGGGGGAGGGGCATGTTTGTCTTCACATTAGGATTGGTGTAAATTTCTACAATTTAAAAAGAGGATGCTTTTGTCCAAATTGACAAACATCTGAGAGTAAGCGCAACACAAGGAAGAATTTAGACTGAAGCAAACAGCGACAGTAAGAGATAACACACAGGTTGAAGACACAGGTGCTGACAGGCAGAGCACAGAACACATGTGCAGGGTATATAGAGGGGTGTATTATAAGTTTTAGTCAAGATGGTGCTTCTCACTCAGAAATATTTCCCATTTAATCACCATAAAATACTTTTAAAAAGCTATAAATGGCCGTCCTGACCATATAACTCAGTTAATGGTATCAATGATTCCTACATCATCAAATGTCTATAAAGACTTAATGTTATTAAAAGACAACATGGACTCATGATCTAAAACGGATGCATGATAAAGGTGAGATCTCTGAGCATGGAGGGGGGAGTTTTATGATTTTCTTCCTGTCCCGTAGGACTCTATGATGAAGTTCAGGCAGAGAGATGTGTTGCTTAGCAACAGCCGAAAAGGCACATGATCTGTGCCTCTAAAAGCTACAAATCATTACGTTTCCTGGTGTAACAGCGCCTCCTAGTGGGTGAAAGTGTAAGGATTTAAGAGCATTTTTTATTTAAAAAAAATCAGATCCTGTCCCAAATCTCACACAGTTTTTCATTTTCTGCACTTATAAAGTTTAAACTATTGGACTTAATGATGCGACAAACCATTGCACTATGACCTTTGACCCTTCTGCTCTCCAACACCCAGAGAAGAAAGGAAAAGATGATTAAAAAGTGGCACCAACATGTTTTGTGCAGCGGAGCGGCTGCTTGCATGCACAACAAATGGGGGCAAATTTGAATCGGGTGACGGTGAGTGCAATGTGTGATGGGAGTGGCTGCACTTGTGGTCATGACGGTGCGTGTCTCAGCCTTTTATACTGGTATATTAGTTACACCAGTAAATTGGACACAGCCAACTTTTTAGATGAAAAAAAACCAGGTATTAAAAGTTTGTCTCACACAACAATGTGACTGTAACTCACAGTGTTGTGTTAATCTAATCATAAACTCCATCATCATCCTCACCTGTATGACTGTAGACAAGTTGGCGGGGTAGAAGGTGGGCGGGTTGTCGTTGACGTCAGAGATGTCGATGTTGACCATCACAGTGGAGGACATGGGCGGGGCCCCGCTGTCCAGAGCCCGGACTGATAGAGAGTAACTGGGGACCTGGAGGGAGTCAGAGAAACAAGTCATGGACTCAGGTTTGATGGACAGACAGGAAGCGTTAATTAATCAGAGATATTTAAAGGAGATTAGAGAGAATTCAGCCAGCAGAGAGAGTCGTCTTACATTTTGAAACAACTCTGAAAACAGCAGAATTATAATTTTTTATTCTTTGACAGTGAAGTGTAAAGTTTATCCTGAGGGGGGCAGTAGAGATCAGTATGAAAGCCAGGTGTATAAAGGTTTTCCTGATGCCTACCTGTTATTTTGACTTCACTGTTAAAAAAAAAAAAATGGATCGATGTGTTTTGTCTTGAAGCTCAGACTGAATGACGAAGTATTCCGTGCATCGTCGCTCTGTTCTGTTCTGTTATTGGTATTTCTAATTTAAAGTGAGTAAGTCATTCTCCCAGAAACTATACATCAAGATTAAAAAAACCTTCAAAATATGTTCAAGAGATTCTGTTCTCTGATATTTTACTTGCTTTATTTATTTGCTGCATTTTCTGGTTTACAGAAGCTCATTGCTTTATGTATTATGACTGCCTGATTCTGTCTGTAAATGTCAACTACATTCTTCTCCTTCTTCTTCTTCTGGTGTTTATTTGCTGTTTGTAAACTATCCCAGAGGTGGGTTACTGCCTCTAAACATCCTGACTGGATTGATCAGGAGGAGAGGATTTAGAGCAGGCAGTTCAATTTGGGAAGAAATAATTCCAAGGGGAGCTGTCTGACTCGTACCAAAGAGCTGAAAACAATCAGATTACACACAGACTGAAACTATAAGACAGAGTAGAAGCAGAGAGAGAGTGACTCTTTAGGATGTTAATATTAACAGATGATTCTCTGTCTCTCTCTCTGTGTGCTCACAGTCAAACACAGAGCGGGCAGATAAAACGCTTCTTGATTGGTTTCCGCTCTTTCATGCTGCTCTGAGACGACACACACTCTCTGGATTATGAACTTTTTATCATATAGAGAAAGAAAGAGAACATTAGTGTATGTTCCTCTGCAGCAGGGCTGAGAGTGTGTTTCCTCTGCCGCAGGATATTTCTCTGTATGTATATTTGTGTCTGTATGTTACTGTGTGTTACGCAGAGAGCTAATGAGCAGCTTAGCAGGAACGCACAGAAAGCAAATAAAGTCGGCTCTGCTGCTGCTGAGACGTATATGAAGTACAGCTCTGCTATGAACAAGAGAGAGAGAGAGAGAGAGAGAGGAGAGAGAGGAGAGAGGAGAGAGAGAGAGAGAGAGAGAGAGAGAGAGAGAGAGAGAGAGAGAGAGAGAGAGAACATTGAAATGAGGAGGAAACACACACACACACACACACACACTCTCTCTCTCTCTCACACACACAGCAAGGAGCTGCTGCTCTGTGTGATCACCCCAAACACACTTTCATCAGCCAAAGCTTTGATCCCCCACACGCCCCTGCACTCTTTCTGAGCGCGCTCAGACGGCTCATCTAGCTCTCATGAATACTTTATGACACGAATATGAACATTTCTGAAGTTTTGGAGCACTGCGGAGGAGAAGAGATGAGGAAGAAGATGAGGAGTACGGTGGAGCTCTCAGGGGGAGGAGGGCTTCATGCTGCCTGTTTCTCCTCCTGCTGCAGATTGAAGCTCTCACACTCACAGTGACTGTGGTTCCTGTTTAACCATCATTAGCAGCCATCTGGTCAGAAATCCTGCAAGAGCCGCTCCTCTGACCGGCTAACACGCTCCTGTGATACATTACAGATGCTAACACTGAGAGCTAACACTGAGAGCTAACACTGCAGGAATCTCTCAGTGCTAACACTGAGAGCGAACACTGCAGAGCTAACTCGCACAGGCTGCTCATATCTGCATGCAAAGTATCCTCTGATACAGCTGCATAAAACCAGGACTGCACCACTGATGGTGATGGAAACGTGAGGCAACAATCAGACAGATTAAACCCAGAGGTGATAGGTGATAGATTTATAGGTATTTTTTTTTTTATCTGGGGTATATCCGCTTCTCCTACTGAGTGAAATATCTCATGAAAACTTCATTCAAACATTCATCTTTTCCAGTTTCATTTATATCAAATATACAGCTATGCTCAACAACCAGCAACATGAACGACTACGTCCAGTGACAATTTTGAGACCTTTTTGGAAGGTTTTGCAACGTCAGTTTTAATAGCTTTGTGTGCTCAATATTTTGTTTTATTCATCACCAAGAAAACATGGAAATAATGTCAATGAATCGTGTCCTGGCATCAAGCAGCCCCTCTGGACCTGAAATTGTTCCCGAGTCAGATTAGCTTCTCCTCCATCATTGTTGATGAAAATGCTTCATGAGTTTGATTGGTCGCAGAGGGAGAGGTGACATTGACGAATGTGAAGGAGTTCCAAAAGTTGGAAAACTGTTCTCAACTGAGATCACTGACAGAGTTTTTGCACTCAAATATCAGACAAACAATCTCTCTTGCTGTTCGCTTCATCGTAATAACAGTCTGAGCTTCACTTCTGATAACCAGTCACATTCTAAATGTATTTTACTTACATTTATTTTAAAGGTGCACTATGTAGATTTGGTATTGAAATTTGAAAGTTGGAGAAGCGAAACAATTCTATGCTATAGTTTCTGAACTATATACACAAACTTTACTCTAAGAAAAAATGGGTCCCTGAACACAGTTTGGAGCTTAAAAGCTACCAGTAGAGTTACTGTTTCACTGTTGTGGACCCCCCACCATAACTTCTCACTCAGCATTGTATCTTCAAACAGTCTTACAGGGACCAAATTTTCCTCTGAGGACAGTTTGTGTATAGAGTTATTAATATATATCACAGAATCTGTGAATTTCTCCAATCTTCACATTTCTTTACCAAAACTCCAAAGTGCACCTTTAAGCAACAATTAGCATCTATCTTTGATTGTTAGCTCGTTAAAAAGCAATTTTTTCAGTAGCAGATTCAGAGTGTTTATATTTAATAACTTAGGCAGAAGTGACAATATTTGGAGAAGAGGGCGAAGCGAGCTTCAGAAGGCACTCCGCATGCACCAATAAATGACACCAAAGTGGTCGCCCTTCTTATAATAAGATGCTTCAATAAGAATCTTCAGGATTTGGATTAAGAAGTTGAATCCAAAATAATCTACAAATTTAGTTTTAATTTAATAATTCTAAATATTTAAAGTGAACATTTCCTCTACTGCTCATCTCAGACTCTGATTGATCGATTAACTCAGATATTAAATATTCAATGCTGCACTTCACTGCAGCAGTGTGAAGCTTTACTTTGTGTGTGTGTGTGTGTGTGTGTGTGTGTGTGTGTGTGTGTGTGTCTCCTCACTGTCTCTCGGTCCAGCTGCTTGTTGACCTTGACGATCCCTCGCAGTGGGTCGATGAAGAACGAGCTGTCCCGGTCTCCACTGATGATGGAGTAAAGGATGGCTCCATTCTGCTGACTGTCAACATCCTCTGCTAACAGCTGCACACACACGCACACACACACGCGCACACACACACACACACGCGCACACACACACACACGCACACACACACACACGCACGCACACACACAGAAGCAGAGTGTGTCATCACTAAACACTTTTCTCTATAAAAGCTAATGTGATGAAATATTTCCTCCATATCTCTGCACTTCCTAATAAGCAGCACAAATGTGAGGCTTGTCAGCCCATGCACCGGTTTCCATGGTAACAGGCTTTTTGATGTGTGACTGCACCGATTTGGACTCCATCATGGAGCTCAGTTTGTTCTGCTTCAAGTCGCTCCAAACTTCACCAGAGACCAGAGGAAACACACAGTGCTGAGTTCAAACATCCACTGACTGTCTGTCTCTGAATGTTGTCTTATTATGACATGTCTAAACTTGAAGACTGAGTGTATGATTTAAATAATGAGCAGAATCATAATCTATTGAAGGTGAAGTTCTTCAGTCACAGTCAGGCAGCGCAGTGATTGAATAACGAGAGAATATTTTAAACCAGCAGTGTTAGGAGGACATTAAAGATGAGCAAGCAGATTAATAATTGTTCATTATATAAATATAATTGTACAGTTTCCTCAAAGGGAGGGGTAAGGTTGTCAAAATGTCAATACTTCAATATTCATTGATACCAGGTGTTTTAAAAGCATGAGATCTGAGTAGAAGAGGAATGCATACATACAAAAATAATTCTAATAACTTTCTAAAAATTCTAAAAAAATAACTCCTGCACACCTTCTAAATTGCAGAAAAAACACTGGCCACATTTCAGTAACATTGCAAACATATTTGTATAGTTTTGTTTTTGTACAACAGTGTGCAGGAGTTTGCTGCTCCAAGAAATATACCCAATATTATCGAGGACTTCTATTTCTGTTGCTTTGGTATCAAACATGTCAATATTATTTGATTTTACTGGCCTCATATCAACGTGAACATAATGGTATGGTGACGACCCTCAGAGGGGGGTGACACAGATCAGAGCAGACACACTGTATCTGCTGGCTGTTCACAGAAAACCACCAACAGAAACTCTGTGGAGGCTTCTGGAAAATATTCAGCAGAGACGCTCTCATGTCACAAAGATTTAACTTCTCTGTGATTGAAGGTCGGTAAATAAAAGTAAATACAAACATGAAATCAAACTTTGAGGTTGTTTGCTTTTTATTATTAAATAAGGGTATGTCGGTATTATAACGACACAAACTAGTTAAAAGCGAAGATTTAAAGAGAGCCATGCGCTTATCAAACAGCCATGCACACATTATATTTTTTTAAGCGTCTTCACTCATGTGCAACATTTCTCCGTGCATTATTGCAGCCTGTGAGGAGAGAACGATGTTTTGAGCGTGTGCAGAATCGGACTCAGTCATAGATTGTGTTTGTTTTTAAAATGATTTGCTGTGCTAAATGCTACATAGCAGCGTTCAGTCATGGTGTTCATTATTTCCTAAACTACCACCAGTGCTCGCACAGTGCTTGTTTTCACTCATATGGGGGACGTGGACTTTTTAACAAATGGGAGGTGATGTATGGCTGCTCTCGTCTTCACTCGTAATGTCCAATCAGAAGAGAGGAGGACTGTATCACTTTAGCCAATCATATTCAGGGACACCATGTGACTAGGTTTTGTCCGAACCAAGAAATACTCCCATTCCCCGGGACTTCTGGTTCATGCTGCGATTTTAATTAGTTAATTACATGTGGGTCTGTTATTTCTAATGCAACGACAGTGTGCAATTTCTTTGTTAAATTGTCTGTGAGTTTTTTGTGCATGTTGTTCTGTTCAAACTGTTGTGTAGTTGTAAATTTGTTTTTTTTGTTATTACCTGCTTTAGGGCTACAAATAAATGTAGCTTTTGTGCTAATTCCGGCATATTTACATTGTTAATATTTGTTGATATGATGATAAATGTGCACTTTCCTAATTAAATAAATAATAATTATAATTAAAAAAATACTGTTACAGAGAAGGAAATTAAGAGCTGTAAGCAGAGGATTTTGGATTATTTTTCTATAGAAATTACCAATCACTCAATAATCCAAATAGTTTGAGATTAATTTGTTGATTCAAATATCATATATAATATAATAATAGTAAATTATTCCATAATCTTTGTTCATAAGGACATCAAGTTATTTTTCTAAACTGTGTTTGGCGACATGGACGAGACACAAACTGGAGTCTTAGATCTGAAGAATAGCAGAGTGAGATCTATCCTCTGGGGATCAGGAATATTCAGCCCAAAGCTAAGTGATCGTCAAAGGATTTCTTTGGACCATGAACACATCCCATACAGGTGTATCTGAGGACATACCTGGACCACAGGCTCTCCGATGGTGGCATCCTCTGACACCAAGGCCGTGTACAGGTCTCTGCTGAACATGGGTGCGTTGTCGTTGATGTCTGTCAGGTTTATGTTCACCGTGGTGATGGCGCTCAGCGGGGGCGTGCCACCGTCACGCGCCTCCACCGTCAGGAAGTAGTCTCTGCAGGTCTCGTAGTCCAGAGGATGGGCGACAAGAATCGCTCCTGAGGAGGACGAGGAGAGATGGGAAATGAGACTACATTTATAATCGAAGTGAAAAAAGGAAAATTTAAATCTGAATATCAGAAAAAGAGGGATAGATATTGGATTGATGGAAGTTTTATGTCTCCAGAGGCTAAGAGGCAGAAAGCACTGAAAGCTGGACAAAAAACAAAACAATCCTTTTTTCTAATTCAGATAAGTCCCTATCAGGATTTGTAGATTCCACCTGCCTGCACACACCTGAACCAAATCTAGTTATTCATGAGTGCAGAACAGGAAGACATTAAAGTGGGACAGGAAATGGCTGAGAGGAAAATGTGGTAAAAAACAGCCAGCAGAACCAGAGAGAGAGAAAAGAGCAGAGAGAGAGAATAAGAACGCTCTGAGGAGGGCTCGTAATGGAAATGATACATTTGGAGCTGAGAGGACTCCAACAGTTTCTGATATACAGAGCAGACGCTGCTCGTGATGAGAATCCACACAAACATGAAGGAGAGAGAGTTCAGCAGCAGATAGATTAACAGATCAGAGGACACGATTCCAGACAGACAGACAGACAGACAGACATGCTCTGACAGGATGAACTGATCTCAGGTGATCACCTGAACAGAATGATATCTTTAAATTCAGAGGTTTACAGCAGTGATCATCAACTGGCGGCCCGCAGGCCACACCCGGCCCCCCACAGCTTGCCATCCAAGAATAACTTCTATAATAATAAGAATGTTTGATGTGTCTAACAGAAATCCACCTGTTAGCTGTTATTGGCAAATATTCAACCAGGAGTAAGCTACAAGTTACTGCACACTTAATAGTGGTAAGGCCAAAAACAAATCCCCATAACACCTCTGTGTTAGTCTGTCTACATATAAGAATGAGGACATTCTTTTATTTTCTCACATGCTGTCCTTATCTAATGTTATTATTTTTTCCGCATGCTGTTTGTTGAACATTCGATTTTTTTTTATCTTAAGACAAACCTTCAACATAACAACCTTATCAGTCAAAATAAGGAAAAGAGGAAAAAGCATTGTAAATGCTCGTCTCTTGTTAATAGAATAGAAATGATTAAAAACATCACAGGCTTTAATTAGCCAGAAATCAAATGTTGCTCTGCACATCAAATAAAACGTTAAGAAGCCCAGACCTGTGATTAAAAAATAAAAATAAAAATAAAACTGCAAGGCTGAAATACTCACATTAGGTTATTGAAAAAAATTACATTTCCCTTCTGACACTTCTTTACAGTACATCGGGCTTGGATGTAGTTGATGAACCCTGTTTTAAAGGTTTTAAAGATACCCCCCCCCCCCCCCCCCCCCAAAAAAAAAACCCATGTTTTTTGGGGACCATTTTCACCTTTATTGGATCGGGCGGCTGAAGAGAGACAGGAAGTGCTGGGAGGAGAGAGTAGGGAATGACATGCAGCAAAGTGCTGTGTTGGATTTAAACCCATATTTGTGTTGAGGTCTAAAGCCTACATACTGTACATGGGCCACACGAAATAACTGCTAGGCTATCCGGCGACCCCGGTTTTAAAGATTTTTACGCATGAAACAGTATCTATATGGATGAATATAGAGAGCCAAGAGGGTCAAAATTCATCTTGTTTTCCCACATATAATAAGTTGAAGGATGAGGGGATATCCAGGCCACGCCCCCTTTTCTTTTTACCGATCATGTTTTATATGTTTTACATGTGTTACCTGAGATGTTAGATGTAAATCACCTGACACTTAATGAGCTGCAGTTATCGGATGATTTGAAGAGGATGTTAAATCACTGTAGCTGTAAATGTCTGATTGATCACTATTCCTCTCTTTTCCTACTGCACCTCCTTTAGTACACTTCCTGGTTTCTCATTCTCTCCCCTCCCCCTTGATTGGTTCTTGTTTGCAATCTGTCACTAATTAATTAGATTTAACTGCCTACTGCTTATTTAAGACTGCACTCATGTTTTCATCCTCATATGGGCCGGCAGTTCAGCAATGGTAAGGTGGCGTTTACTCCTATTTTAGTTACTATCTAGTCCATTTGAATTTGTCCTAAGTACTTTATTTATCTTTATTTCCTTCAGAAAGTAATCTAATTTGACTTGTGTTATTGTGCTAATATTATTTTATTTTGTCTTTCAGCATGGATGTTCAATCCCATGTGTGTCTTCTGTTACCCTCATGATTTACCTCATCTGAAGAAATAAAACTGTTACCTAAACTCAAGTCTTCCTGCATCCTGACCCGATGCCCCCATGGTGATAGCACCTCAACTTTGAACCCTTCTTAACAGCCCATTTTGACAAACATTTACTGTTTTCATTGCTGCTTATGTCTTTTAAGGTGTCTATGAATGTATGGCTTCTCATTGTTTGTCAGAAACTTTAGTAACTGTGCTGCTACCTGTCGGTGTCCACACAAGGAGATTTTGAATCCCAACAAGTTCCTGACTAATTAAAGGATAAATGAACATGGACACTCATAAAACAAATTAAATGGACATGAAGGGAAGATAAAACACGAGAAGTGATCATTAATTAGAGGTGAAATTGACCTGTCAGTGGGTGGATGTGGAACTTCCCGTGCTCGTTTCCTGACCGGATGCTGTAGTTGATCTCTGCGTTGGTGCCGATGTCTTTGCTGGCAGCGTGAACCCTCAGAACCTCCGTCCCCACGCCCACGTCCTCTGGCACCGTGGCCAGCTGGTCGCGGCGTTCAAAAACGGGCGGGTTGTCATTGATGTCGAGCACGGTGATGGTGACATTGACGAGCGAGGAGAGGGTCTGCGGGGAGCCCTGGTCCGAGGCGTGGACTGTGATCTGATAGGCCGGCTGCACCTCCCGGTCCAGAACGCGCTCCAGCACCACGATGCCCGACGACTTATCGATGGAGAAGGATCCTCCCGCAGAGTCGGCCAGAGAGTAGTCCACCACCCGACCCGGACCTGCTGCAGAGACACCAGAGGACGCGTCACTTAAAAATACACTGTCTAGTTGGACACTTTAATGCTAACATCACCCCTCCTTTTAATCGCACCTGTAATGTTAATGACTGTTATTTAATGTCTTCTTTTTAAACATTGCTGTACATATATAAACAACACAACTTCAGAGGGTCAACACTTTTTTTTTTTTTTTCTATTTTTGATTTTTTTTTTCCTCAACTGTTTAGAGGTTCTTGTTTAAATTGCACATATTTTTTCAGGTTTATATATGTATGGGATGGGGGCGTCTGTTTTGTGGTTAATTTGTAACAAATGTTTCATGTCATGTACGTCTTTGTAACCTGCTACTGGATGCTTTGAATTTCCCTCGGGATCAATAAAGTATCTATCTAATTCATAAATCGCACACAAAGGTTTAAATGCTCCCCTAACTGTGCTGCGGAGCAATAAGTGTCACTATGCTCCTCTGTATGACATCAAATGAAATCATCAAGTAAAGTCTGTAAGTTTACTTTGAAATGACTATTAAAAGAACCACACCGACTCCACACTTCAGACACACGGTCTGGATCCGTTACCATGACGAGGATGAGAGTGTGTTTTTTTTTGTTTGACTTGTTCTGTCTTGATTCATTCAGGGAGGAAGCTTTGTTTCAAACAGTGAAACTCAAAACACTTTTTTTAAAGTCTGGCTTCACAATAAGTTTTGAAAAAGTTTCCTCTCCCGTTCCAGAGAAAACTGCATGGATCAGTAGAGCTATATGCTCTGGGAATGTCACCTTGAGACGGAGCAGATCGAGGGAGCAGACGATGTGGAGATATTAGCGGCCGGTATCCATTCTCTTTTTACTGGGATTTGTATTCTTCTTTTAACTCAAACTAAAACTATGAATGTCTGCAGGACAGACTTTGCTACAAATGATTAAATGACCTCTACTGTAAGCAGTTTTCAGGAATATCTCCCGTTCATTTTTGTACACTGTGTGATTTGTTCATTATCCAGTCCTCCCATAAAAGAAACATAAAAGAAAAAAAAACATCAGCTGTTTTGTTTTTCTTCAGTTCTATATTATAGGACTCAATTAGAACTGTCTTAATACCAGAACGTTAAAGTTCAATATGATTCTAGTAAAAAAATCAAACGATATCGACCTGCAACAAAAACGGAAGTCCTAGACACCAACTATTGGGTAATGTATTGTTTTTACAGACAAACTCCTGCACACTGTCTACATTTTTAAAGGTCATTACTTTTTGATTCGGTTGATCATTTAAATAACAGAGATTGTATCGTTTTAAAATGTATTGAAGTACTGCATATTTTAACAACCTTAGATTAAAATCTCTCAAATATTTATGTTTTATTATGTCCTTAAATAATTATTTTAAGTATTTTTCAGAGCATTTTTCAGTTTAAAATAAACTGTACTTTGCTATGGGATGTTTACCGTGAAGCATGGCGTCCAATAATAAGTGATCAGATTATTTATAGAGCAGAAGTAGGTCTCTTTGCGTTTACTGCTGTTAGCTGTGCAGATGTTTCCCTGAGGACAGAACTCTTCATCCACAAACATGAAGCTTTACTTTCACACTGATGACTTCCTCTAGAGGCTGAGAGCAGATTTTATATACATGTTCCATGTTCCTCATGCTTCCTCCAGCACTACCTCCCTTTAGGTGAGAGAGTTTTACTTCTTTTTTTAAAGGTCATCTTAATGATCTGGAGGCAGAAACATCTGACTGTAGATGTTTTAACTAACTCGTATTGCCCTTTTTGATCGCTTTGTTGCTGATGACTTCTGACAGATTCTGATGAATGGTTCTTTTTGTGATTCCTGTATTTATGTTCATTCTTGTTCCGTGTTTTATGTCTGAAACCCTGTAATTGTGCTGCTGCCTGTCTTGGCCAGGACGCTCTTTTTCTTTTTTGAGACTTTTTCCTGGTTAAATAAAGGTTAAATAAAATAAATAAAATAAATAAAATAAATAAAATAAATAAAATAAATAAAATAAATAAAATAAATAAAATAAAACTTTAGAGTCCAGAGCTACACCTTCTTTAGTTTATGTTTTGAAGGTTGTTGCCCTTTCTTTTCTTTCAGTTTATGTGCACACTCGACCCTGCAGCCTCATGCATGTGTGCCAGGGATGGAGGGGAGTTTACTGGGAACTCACACAGATCAGAGCATTAAACATAAAATACCTGATTAAGTTGGGATCTTTCTCAGGAGCCCATTTAGGTAAAAACTTAAAAATAAACTGTTTGAATGAGACCTGATCAGTCGATAATTGAGTCTGCAGAGACATTAAGACACAAAGAATCAGGACAGAGAGGGTTGAGGGGAGCAGGGGCTTAGACTACGGTTAACCATGGGTTAACCCTAACCTGTCTAGATCTGCTTTCATGTAATGGTATTTTACTGTGTTTTACGCTTTCTAATTTTTTAATATTTTTATTGCAAAGCCCTTTGTGAGGTCTGTTCTTGAAAGGTGCTAAATGAATACATTTGACTTACTTTATTATTTGATTATTACAGAGGGGGATAATAATACTCTCATTTAATCTAATCTGTGTCTTTTCCTGCTTCCATTTTATTCCACTTCCGAGTCACATCATCTCTGTGGTTCAATAGTTCTCTCTTTAATGTGGAAAGTTTTTCATATCAATAAAACTGTCACAATAAAACTGTCACAGTGCTCATGTATTATAAGCACTGGTAAGCATTGATATAGAAGTAATTGTAATAGTGTTGTATAAAAACTTTTTGTGTTGTTGTGACCTTGGTCAGGGTCGATGGCCTGGATGCGGGTCAGCAGGGCCTTGGTGGCGGTGTCTTCGTACACGCTGGCGGTGTACTGTGATTGGGTGAAGATGGGCGGGTTGTCGTTCACGTCCGTCACCACCAGCTGAACCTCCGCACGGCACCACCTCCCGCCGCCGTCTGTCGCCTGGGCAACCAGCCGGTAACTGGGCGTCACCTCCCTGTCCAGGAGCACCGACGACTTGATCTCACCTGGGGGGTCGGAAACAACAGGTGAGGAGCCAATGAGTGGGGCGGGGTTAATGGAGCCTAAGTTGTTGTTCACTGTATTATTATTAACAAAAACTCAAACCTTACTGTAAAAGTATGAGTCTAATATCTGGTCAAAAATATCCCATTACACCTTTTATAATTAATATATTTATAGATAATTAAACAGTCTAATTTTATATTAAATGTAATTGGAAAATAATCAGTCTGTTTGTTTTTATATTTAATGTTTTTATGAATAAATGTATTTAATATATTTTATTGTCAGACTGATCTGTACCTGTGTCCGGCTCCATGATGAAGTCCTGAGATCCTGGACCATGGAGGGAGTACTGGATCCACGAGTTGATGCCCGCATCGGCGTCTGAAGCTCGGATCACCAGAAGGGGGCTGTGGAGGGGGAGGTCCTCAGAGACAGAGGCTAAATACACAGCCTACACACACACACACACACACACACACACACACACACACACACACACACACACACACACACACACACACACACACACACACACACACACACACACACACACACACACACACACACACACAGAAATTGAGACAGTTTCTGACATGATTTTTGAGTCACACGACTGATTCTGAAGTTTCCAGCTTCCTCGTGCATCGTTAGTCTGGCATTGAACAAGAGGAACAGACAATTAGACTGTACAGTGTAAGCACAGAAATAACGAGCTTTGGTTGTGCATCATAAAAGATTCACTCGTACAGTGTGGGATAACTTTACATATAGTGTATATACTGACCTACACTATACTACTGTATGTATGCCAGTCGTAACAGAAGCTGAGCTGTAGATCTGACTGTGGGTCTTTCAAAACAGGACACTGTGGGGCGCTGGTGGCGCAGTGGTTAGTGCGCGCGCCCCATGTACGGAGGCCATAGTCTTATAAGCAGGCAGCCCAGGTTCAAATCCCTTTCCTGCATGTCATTCCCTACTCTCTCTCTCCCTGATTTCTAACTCTATCCACTGTCCTATCTCTCTATTAAAGGCACAAAAAGCCCAAAAAATAAATCTTTAAAAAAAAGAAACCAGCACACTGTGACTCGTCCCTCACCTGCTCACACACGGGGCTGTTGTCGTTGGTGTCGATCACCGTCACCTCAACAGTTGCCTGGGAAACAAAGAGTCCGTCGCTGGCAGTGACGTTAATGATGTAGAGGTTACACTCCTCCCGGTCAAGAGGCCACTTCACATACATCTTCCACTCACCCTGAACCAGGCCGAGAGCGAACACGCCACGATGGTTCCCACCTGGAGAGAAAGAGAGAAACACACAGGGAGTCAGACAGACATGGAGACAGGACCGCTGACGCCCAGGATCAGTACAGACATTTACAGAGTACCTTCATAGAGTATGTCCCTGATTTCACCAAAAATAAAGTAACACATGCAGCAATTCTAATTCATCAAAAAGCTGCAGTCTGAATGTCAAACCAAACCATTAAACATCTCATCAGTTCAAACAGAACTCCCCCCGTGTGCAGGGCTGAGATAGTGCGAGTCAGTGAGTCACACATCACCTTTAAGTCCTGACTCATGTCCAAGTCCTAAACTTAACCAGACGTTTCAAATATTCAAACAGAGTAATAGTTATTAGACTAAATGAAGTGTGCATTTAACACCTTCAAACTAAACAGAAGCTTTAAAAATCAATGCGTGCAAGCTTTCCGTCTCTCGTCCCTCCAATCAATTAAAAACTCAATTTGAATGTATCAGAAAGTGCACTGATGTTAAACTGTGGAGTAGGTGCACTGTTGTGCATCCTGTGTTGGTCGATTAAGTTCAGTGGACGTGTGTTAATAACTCGCCAATGTCTGCCCATCTTTCTAATGCGTCCTCTTAATATCTAAAATATACTGCGCTACAAACTTTAGACTTGAGAGTAAGACTAGGTTTTAGTTGATCTAAAGCGCAGTCGTCAAGATAGCAACATGCCAGCATTTGGCTTGACCACGCCTTATTTTAAAACCAACACACCCCTGGGTGCTCACAGGAGTGAAAGTTCAGTTGCTTATCATCATCATTATCATCGACCTTTATTTAAGTTCTCGACAACGAGAAATTAGATAAAGCTACTACAGAAAATATAATCAATAAAAGAGCAATAAGAACAATAAAATATATACACTAAAATAATTTAAAAGCTTGAAATTACTACAGTGATAAGTCAGTAATTAAAATCAAATAAAACAGTTACAGTCAGGTATTGGGTGGTTAATAATCATATTTCTAAAGTGTCCATAAGCTCGCCCAATATTAAACAACTTGGGTGAGCTCTGGGTTAAAATGAAAGGAAAATAGGAATGCCAAGACGCTGTGCAGAGAGGGTATGATAAGGGCCAATAGACAAACTGAATCTTTTACTGTATATACTCTGAATGATTTCTTTTTAGGTTTTATTGAATGAAGGCCCTAATGTGAAATGAAATGTGATTTCTGCTGATTACAGAGATTCGATTAGTGGTGTAGTAGAATATATTCCACCTTGCAGATGTTTGAACATGTGTCAGGCTGCAGCTAAACATGGTGCTGCAGGCGTTAGTGTGTGTTCACACACACTGTTTGTTAATGACTCTGCACACTAATGAGCTGCATGCAGACCTACATAGATATATGTATATATTTATACATATAAAGACACACCAACCTGTGTCAATAACTTAAATTCATAGTAATAACAATTTCAGTATTTACTCAAATTGACTGTGTTATTTACAAAGTGTGTGACATTGTAGGTGTGATGGTTGTCCAGCCTGTAGCAGCGTTACCATCAGATCAGAGCCTACGTTTCTGAGGAGAAGTCAAGGATATTCAGAAGGTTTAATCATATTCACTTGTATAACAAAGCTGTTTTTTTGTGTGAAAATCTATTCAGAATTCTGCGAGCTACAGCACATTTTTTAATCATATAACGACACAATCTGATGAGGAATTAATATTACCTTATTGAACACACTCAGCCCAAAGGGGAGTATTAATTAAGAAAAAAATGGTAATCTGTCTGTTTGATTGGAAAGATTTGCCAGTATAAAAAAAATCTAAAAAAGGTGTTTCAGCATGAGTCCATCTCTTGGAGACAGTGAAGGTCATCCTGACATAGACTGACAGACAGATGGACATTCAGACGGACCATCTGACAGCACTGTCATTCAGCCCATCAAGTCTTGTTGGAAACTTAAATAATGCATACATGTTAAAAAATAAATCTAAAATGCTGATATGGTCCAAACCTCCATGCAAGTAGCATGAAAAACAAAGCAGTCTTGATTTAGTTCAACTTTCTCGTCTGAGGAGTCTTATTAAATAATCAGCTCAGTACTGCTCAATATTTAAGTCCTCCAAATCAGATATCGTAAGCTTGGTGTCAAGTGCCATGCTTTCCTGGTAAACAGACATGCAGAGTTTGGTGGAGCTGGAAATTGGCCAGTAAAAAAAATCGCACAGCCAACTAGCGTTCTTAGGCGGAGTATTGCAGAGCTACACAGACATACCAGAGCTAAAGCATGTGGTGCTTATGACACCGTAGACCACTACAGTGTAGCTAGGTCAAGGATTTGAAGCTATAGGTCAACGGATCGACGCTGAAGTACAAATTAGGCTTAATTCCCATTACGCTCTAACACACAAAGAAGAAATCAACTCCTCTTTCTCTTATGTTTACAGTGAAAACCAACCACATAAACTGAGACCTTTCAGAAAGTAACTGTGTCAAAGATTGTGAAAACAAAATGAGATACATCCTGTCTGATGTGGAAAAATACTAGTCCAGAATCAGAATCAGAATCAGCTTTATTGGCCATGTATGCTTACACACACACATGGAAATTGTCTTCAGTAACTGTGCTCTCAATGTAAAAAGTTAAACATTAAACATAATATAAGCAAAAAAAAGCCACTAATATATACAAGGCTAAATAAAAATATTGTTATGTAACAGATGGTTAATATATATGCATCCATGCATTCGTTACCTATAGATTTGATAACACTCTTTTATCAGGCTACCCTTAAAAGTCTCTAAAGACTCTTCAGCCAGTCCAAAATGTAGCAGCTAGTGTACCGACTACATCTAGTAAAAGAGAACACATTTCTCCTATATTAGCTTCTCTGCACTGAATGCAGGCCTGCTCGTGGTACCTACAGTCTCTAAAAGTAGTATGGGAGGTGGCACCTTCAGTTATCAGGCCCTTCACCTTTAAGTCCTGACTCATGTCCAAGTCCTAAACTTAACCAGACGTTTCAAATATTCAAACAGAGTAATAGTTATTAGACTAAATGAAGTGTGCATTTAACACCTTCAAACTAAACAGAAGCCTTAAAAATCAATGCGTGCAAGCTTTCCGTCTCTCGTCCCTCCAATCAATTAAAAACTCAATTTGAATGTATCAGAAAGTGCACTGATGTTAAACTGTGGAGTAGGTGCACTGTTGTGCATCCTGTGTTGGTCGATTAAGTTCAGTGGACGTGTGTTAATAACTCGCCAATGTCTGCCCATCTTTCTAATGCGTCCTCTTATTATCTGAAATATACTGCGCTACAAACTTTAGACTTGAGAGTAAGACTAGGTTTTAGTTTGTCTCCTTTGGAATCATCTGCCAGTCAGGATCCAGGATGCAGACAACCTCTCTACCTTTAAGAGTAGGTTTAAAACTTTCCTTTTTGATACAGTTTATATAAGGCTGGCTCAGGCTTGGACCACCTCCGAGTTACGCTGCTATAGGCTTTAGACTGCTGGGGGACCTGGCACACTGAGCTCTTTGTAACACCAGATAAGAACACACTCTAGACTCACTCATGTCTTCCTATCAGTCTCCATTTGCGGACGAGAATGCAGAATCACCACACCTTTACTTTGACAGACAACTGTCGGTCTGAGTGGCGTCATGTTCATGAGGCTGTGTGTTAAAGGCCAAGCTCATTGAACTAGACAATAAATATATCCACAGACCTTAGGTGCACTTCATCAGTCCTTTATGAGGTTAGCGTTTATCCTACCAGCTTTTCTGTGGTATGGTATATGATAACAACACAACATTATTTAGTATTTTATGTATCTTGGTGTTTAGATCATATATTGTTATCTCGATCTATGAAAAATGTACATGCAGACACACAAACACAAACCAATCGCATTATAAGCCTCCAGGATTGTCAGACTGTTAGAGCCAGGAGAGATATCCCTATATTACTGATTTTCTTCGAGCTGCTGAGTCCAAAATAAACCTGACAGAAAATAACACTGGGACAGTCCACATGAATCTTCCTGTCTGTCAGGCTTCATCAGTATCACTGAACACAGAGGATGTGTTTCTCTGTGTTCTGTCTTTATCTGCTGAAGCTCTTTTATTCTAAGTAACATCGAGTGCTCCTCTGTTGGAAGACAGAAAGGTCACATTTGTCAGTTTTTGCGACAGCTCATTTGCTTAGTTTTATTCTTTAAGCTCCGTCGCCTTGCCTCCTTCCTCTCTAGCTGTCAGCTATAAGGTCACATCACTCACACGTCTCTCAGTCACTCCTGCTGACTGCCTGACGCTCATTAAAATGCTAATAGAGGAAGGATTTCTTTCCCATTAAAAGTCCTTTATTAGCTCTCTATCCCTGTGTGGTAGTCCTAGCTTCTTGGGAGTCCTGACTCTATTATGAGCTTCTGGAGTTTCAGCGAGTGCACAGATAATCAGTCATGTCAGTACTTTGATCAGCATCCGTATTCTTAAAGTAACTCCGGCATCACCCTGTTTTGAATTCCTCTTCATGTTCTCACGTTTCCCTCCATTGACTATAATATACAATGTTTCATGCCATGGGCCCTGTGTTTATTATGTCAGGAAAACAGCCTGGTATCTCCACATTTTAAACAAGGCTAAGAACAAAACATAGAACAGCGACTCACATTGATTTCCTTGTTTAACTTGTACAGTAACAGTAAAGACCAAAATGGCCATGACTAGCACAAGAGGTACCACCTGAAGCTGAAAATAAAAAGAATCATGTTCAGGTGAGTGTACTTTAACACTATTTACTACCTATTTTACCTCTGGAGAACTGTTACTGTCACAGTCTGCTGAATGCTATCCTACCATGAAAATGTTATCCCATTAAATCCTGTTTCTCAGTCAGACCTGGAAAGCTGACACTCATGCACGTGTTCTCTGGGAGGAAGTGTGGAGAAAAAAAGTGAATTATGTTCTGAATCACAACTCCTCTCTTCATGTTTATTCATGGCTGTAGCAATGGAAAGGAGATGCAGAATATGAACACAACATACCCGCCTTTATCTTTAGCCAACAACTAGGTCAAAACAGAAACGCACACAATGCTTTCAGCGACCTTTTCTTTTTACCGACAGAGGAGCAGCAATACAAATCCAATCACAGTCGATAGTGACATTGCAGGAGTGCTCCCAGAAAAATACATCTTTTTAAAAACATAAATTTAAAATGGACTTGAGCTTGTATAGCGCTTTTCTAGTCTTCTGAATACTCAAAGCACTTTTACACTGCAGGTCACAGCTACTCATTCACACACTGATGGCAGAGTCTGCTATGTAAAGGGTCCATCAGTATTAACTCTTCCAATTCATACACATTCACACGTTGCCGATGGACACATTGGACATGTAACTGCAGGAGCTGGAGATGAAATCCCTGACCTTCAGATAGAGAGACGGCCGACTCTACCATTGAGTCAAAGCCTGCCTAAATATTCTTGGAGAAAACAATGGTAGAATCTGTGCACTTTTTTGCTTCGACCTGTTGTAAAGACAAATGCAAAAACAACAGCATGGCAGATTGTAAACTTTACAATCAAAGGTTCAAATGACTATTCAATATTTATCCTTCACAAGGTTTACCCGCAGAGTTCTCCTCCTCTCTAACAAACAGACCAGGGGAGTACAACCAACAATGAAAAAACACACTAGGTTTGTGTCCCATCAAAGATCTATACATAGTTAACCTCTTTAGATAACCTGTGACCATAGGCTTTCTAGTGTCAGCAGGTGCATTTCACTTTTTTAGAATCACAAAATATTAAAGATACAGTTTTAGACATTTCCAGTGTTACTCACCAGTGATGTGGTAGCTGACTTGTCGGTTCACAGCTGAGCTGTCATCATCTCTGGTGTTCAGCACAGCCACCACCTCCCCCGGCGGGTCGCTCTCCTGAACTGAGCCAACATAATTTTTCTCCAGAAACTTGGGAGGGTTGTCGTTGATGTCTGAGACGGCTACAGTCACTGTGGTGATGCTGGAAAGAGACACAGTCTCTCCAAGATCTGAGGCCACCACTGTGAAAGTGTACGATGGATTGGTCTCATGGTCCAGGTCTTTGCGTGTGGAGATCCAGCCTGTGTTGCTGTCAATGCTAAAAGTGTCAGCTAATGCATCGGAGTCCTCTTCTGACTGGATCAATGCCCCCAGGCTGTATGTCACCTGACCATTAGCTCCAGAGTCAGGGTCTGTTGCTTGGACCTGTATGATCCTAGTTCCGACTGACATTCCTTCCATCACTGTGGCTTCATAGGAGAAAGCCTCAAAGGCTGGTTTGTTGTCATTTAGATCCAACACTTTGAGTTCAACATCCACAAAAGTCACAGAATCCAGTTTGGCCTGTTGTATAGTTGCCAAGACTTTAAAGTGGTATCCTTTAATCACCTCGTGGTCCAAAGGCTTATCAAGCTTGATCACACCTGTGTCCTTCTCCACCACAAACACCCAATCCTGGTTGTTTTCTCCAGTCTCTCCGTTAATCACAGCAAAGGATGCAGTAAAAGAGGCATGTCCAGGAGGGGGGTTGAGGCGCACTGTGCCTATGGCTGAACCTAAAGGGGTGTCCTCTGGCATGCGAAATATGTATTGATGTTGGCTGAAGGAGGGAATGAAGGTGTCTGGAGAAAGAACATGGATGTAGACGGACACAAGAGAGTGTCGAACTGGATTTCCTCCATCCACAGCCTTCACAAAAAAAGATAAAACAGAATTCCTCAAGTGGCTGAAGCTACCTTTGGTCACCATCCAGCCATTGTCTGGGTCTATTTCCAAAATGTCTACCACAGGGACGTGGGCCTCACTGTACAGAGAATATGTCACTTTGGCATTAGTGCTGTCGTCAGGATCATAAGCCTGAATCTGTGTCACCAAATAACCTTTAGCCACATCTGACTTGACTGAAGCTCTGTACTCTGTGGCTCGGAACAGAGGTACATTGTCATTATCATCCAACAAGGTAACTTGTACTGTACAATAGGAGACACGTCCACCTGAGTCCTGTGCTGCTACTGTCAGAACAATGTCCTTATTAGCCGGGTCTTCACGGTCAAGCTTCTCCACTGTGCTGATCTGACCACTTGCATCGATGCTGAATTGGTCTTTGCCGACATCATTAACAAAGGAATAAGCAACGTTTCCGAAGACTCCAGGATCTGCATCTGTAGCCTTCACCTGAAATGAAACAAATGTCACATCATACAGACACGATTATTTCATTTTCTGTACTATATTATCAATGTTTATTCTTAGATTTGATACAAAGGAACTTTATAGTTCAATGTATTTCAGAAGCACTTACCTGTATAACTTTGGTCCCCACGGCAGAGTTCTCTCGTATCTCTGCCTCATACATACTCTGTCCAAAGACAGGACTGTACAGGTTGGCCCCCAGCACCTTTACATGAACCTGTGCTGTGCTGGTGAACACCCCATCAGATACTGAAACATTAAGGCTGTAGGTAGACTCCATTCTTTGCTTACGGTGGCCGGACAACGTGATGATTCCTGTCCTCTTGTCCATCACAAAGTTCATTCTTTCATTTCCTGACAAAATGCTGTACTCTAACTTGTCAAAGTCAGAACTGTCAGCATCTGAGGCCTGGACACAGGTTACAAAGTGTCCTCTGGGTGCTAACTCATTCACGTATGCCTCATAGAGAAGCTGGTTGAAAACTGGAGGATTGTCGTTCATGTCATTCACCACAACTATGACTGACACTTCACTGCTCAGTGGTGGGAAGCCGTTATCCGTGGCCCTAACAGTGAAGTCATACTTCTGGACTAGTTCATGGTCTAGCATTCGAGCTGTGAGGATTAATCCACTGCTGCTATCAATGTGAAAGTAGTCTGTGCTGTTATGAACATCTGAAAAGATCTGGTAGCGGACAACATTGTTTTTCTCTGAGTCTTTGTCATTGGCAATAACTTGAAGAGCTGGAGTCCCAATCATAACAGTTTCAGACAAAACAACCCCGTAAGACATTTTCTGGAAGACGGGCAAGTTATCATTAACATCAAGGACTACCACATCTACATCCACCTCAGCACGAGCTCCGGTCAGGTAGTCAGTGGCTCTGATGGTTAGGTGGTAGGATGAAGATGTTTCATAGTCCAAAGAATGGATGACACTAATGACTCCGGTATCAAAACCAATGTCAAACTGAAGGGAAGGGTCTCCGTCAACAATGGTGTAGATGATGTTTTGGCCTTCAGGACTGGTAGCATTGATACCAAGGATGGGCGTGTGTACAGCCACGTCCTCATTCACAGTGACAGAATAAAATGATTTGTCAAAAACAGGCATAGCTTTGTTGACTACAGTTATAGGGAACTCTGTAGTAGAAGAGAGAGGAGGATATCCTCCATCTCTGGCATATATCACCATCTGGTATTCCACATTAGACAAATCGGACTCAAAGGCCCGCTTAAGGCTGATACTGCCTGTCTGCTTGTCAATCTCAAAGTGACTGTGGTCATCCTTGAGATAATAAGACACCTCTCCATTAATGCCTTTGTCGCGGTCTACTGCCATGACCCGGAAAATATGTGAATCTGGCTCAGCTTCTACTTGAACAGCTGCATAATAAGGAAGTCCAACAAACACAGGAGCATTATCATTTATGTCCTCCACTTGGACTTTAACCAGAACTCTGGCCACGTGTAAACGGTCATGCTCCCTTCTGGCCTCAACGACCAGTTCATAGAACTCTTGCTCTTCACGATCAAATGGTATACCTGTGGTTTGGATCACACCTGAAGTTGGACGGATTTTGAAGCGTGTACCTGCATTCAACAAGGTGTACTTCAATGGTTCATTGAGACGATTTCCCACTGCATTGACCACAGCCACTTTGGTGATGTTTGATACGTTCTCTTCAATAGATGAGGAATAAAGACTGTGGGTGAAGCTGAGACCAGAATCCAGAGCTTCTCTGACAAGAATGGTTACCAGAGCTGAGCTCGAAAATTTCCCATCTGAAACTTTGACACTGAAGCGAAACCGTTCCTTTGAAAAGTTGTTGTTTTTGACTATGATGACTCCACTGGAAGGTTGGATGGCAAAGTGCTCCAGTACTCCATCAGTCAGAGAGTATGTAAGCTCCGTAGAGACTTCTTTGTCAGGGTCTATGGCTGAAACCTTCAAAGCTTCCACTCCCACATAGGTGGGGAGTAGCAGGACCGTTTCGTAGGCATTCTGGATGAAGCGAGGGGGAGAATCATTAGTGTCAATCACTTGTATTGTGACCTCAGTAGGACTGTCTGCCGTAAGCTGTGGCCTGCCATTATCCCTGACATGAACATGGAAGTGGAAGCTGGCAAATGTCTCATGGTCCAGATTAGCAATGGTTCTGATGGAGCCAGTTCCTGAATCCACTGTGAAGAACATTTTGGCAGTGTCCTCAACAATCTGGTAAACCAACAGAGCATTTTGGTTGCGGTCAGCATCAGTGGCTTTGATTACAAGAGGTGAGTCATCTGAGTTTAGGACCACACTGTTGACTGGTGCTGCCTCGCTGATGCTGCCACGATAGTGAAGCTGCTGGAACATAGGTGGGTTATCATTCTCATCCACTACCTGGATTATCAGAGTAGCATTAGAGGCCATGCCAGCCATGTTTGAGGCCTGGACTATCAGTGTGTAAGAAGCTGTAGTCTCATAGTCTAGAGGTTTCTGACTTGTAATCACTCCGCTGTACTGATTTATCTGGAAAACACGGTTTGTGTTTCCCTGCTTGATGTCATAGGTGAGGGTGGACTGACTGACTGCACTGACTGTGGTGACAGAGGTCCCGACCGCTGCATTCTCTGTGATCTCAGCTTGGTACTCGGGCTGAGGGAACTTTGGGCCGGCATTGTCAGAGAGGGTTACAGCGATACGCACTATGGTGGTGGTGGAGAGGGGAGGGGATCCACTGTCAGTCGCTCTGACTGTGAGAACGTAATGGCCTATGCTAGATAAGTCCAGGTCACGTGCAATTGTGATGATTCCCAAAACTGGTTCAATGAGAAATGCATTTCCAGTGTTCCCTGTTGGAAAAAAAAGCAAAGATGAATCTTTTTGTCACTTTAACAGTTCTTCTTAGGTAAATAATGGATATGTTCAGACCAAAGGATATAACATTTTCACCTTGCTTTACTTTGGCAATTTTGACTGCAGAATCATTTATTATTTGCATTGTTAAACACAAATGTCTGCCTTTCAGAAATTAAAAACCCAGAGAACACTGTCACGTCTGTCTTTATATCATCACCTGTTCTCTCTTACAGCTGGGTTAATCTCCCCTCCTCCTCCAAGAACTGTCTCTGGATGACTTTCCCTGATACTTCTAGCTACCTGTGGCTGACCTGTTAGCTAGGATCAGTTCAAGGATTTCTCTTATGGACACCAACTAACATTGTTCTGTTTAACCTGCGGAGTTCCTGTCCATCTGTCTCATTAAGTGAAAGTTTCACTGTATCTAACAAGTCACACTAAAGTTGGCTGAAATCTTTCTTACTACAGCACTATAAACCCAAAATAAGCAGATTTTACTGTGATTTAATTAAAATTCAGGGTGCAGATTTGTAAAGATTTGGAGATCATTCTTTGCCAGGTCTGACTGCATAACAAAGCCAACAACTTTTAAAATGTTATGGAATGGAGTTTGCATTAAGCATTTCTCCTGCAACATCAGGATTTCAGGAGGATGCCAAAACTGATAGACTGTAAATGGACCGTGGGATGTAAACTCCTCACTGATCTACTTGAAGAGATGCTTTTTGCATTGTACTGTATTTATGCTCTTCCTCTGAACACACCTTAAGACATGTCAACATACAGGAGTAGGTATTTAGTTTTCAGATGTGTGTACCTGCTTCAATAGAGTATCGTAGCTCTGCGTTCTCGCCTTTGTCTTTGTCCAGAGCGGTGACCTGGACTACAGCTGACCCCATTGCTGCTGACTCGTAGACTAAGCCTTCATACAGAGCACTGGTAAAGATGGGCACGTGGTCATTTATATCCTCCACTTCTATGAGCACACGAGCCAAGTTCTTCCTGTATGGGAACTCTTGGTCCTTTACCTAGGAATACAAATACAAAATAATAAGTCAACATTTATTCTTGACATAATCTCACTGCAATCTATAATCCAACAACTGAAAAATATCAAATGTGCCACTGTCCAAGGTAAAAGAAAAAAGTACTGCAAGAATCACACTCTTTAACTTTCCTTTGCTGTAGTCTTTATAATCACAGTTCACTATTGGATACACAAATCAGTACTATGATGTGCGCTGACTCTCTGTGGTGAGGTGTAAACACAAGCCTGCTCTTTCATATTCAGCTTGATTGTTAAATAATGAGCTCAGGTAGAATGAAAGCAGAGACGTGTAGATTGCCTCTGGCTCTCCTGCTGCTCTTTATATCAGACACAGGAAAACAGGGAAATTATTACCATCTGAGAAATTTGTGCTTTCAAAGAGTCTTGTTGCTTTTACTACTTGAGGTCGACAACCAAAAACGGTTGCAGATATTTGACCTGTGCCCTGGTTAATAAAGTTTACTTTGAAATGGAAATGTAATTGACCTCAGAGCATTGTTTCCATGTTTATTTTAAGAAGGTCAATATCTTTGTTCACCACTAGAAGCTACATGTTTTCCACAATACATTTGGTACATTTCCACAATTTCCCAGTTTGGGATCAATAATTTAAATCTATCTATCTATCTATCATAAAATAAAACATTTATCTTGATACATTTGACAGTAGGATCATTGTTTTGCGCCTCAAGAATATACAGGTTAGTCTTTAATAGTTATCATGACAGTAATGATAAAACAGTAATGACATTGGGTTACTTATTTTCCTTCTGTAACAGTTTTTTTTTAATTTAAAAAAGAGGACTTACGATGACGGTGAGAATGTGCTGGGCGCAGGCCTCATGGTCCAGCCTCTGAGCCGTGTGGATGGTGCCCAGGTGTGGATGGATGCGGAACAGACGCATGCTGTTGGGGTCGATGGAGCTCTGCAGAGAGTACGTCAGCTTGTGGTGCTCATCACGGTCTGAAGCCAGAACCTGGACCACCTCAGTGTCAGGGGGCGTGTCCTCAGAAATGGTGACATCATAGGTTGGTTGGGAGAAGATGGGAGCGTTGTCATTGTTGTCGATGACGGTGATGTGAACCTGGATAGTAAGAAAAGAAAAAGAGAAGGGGATAAATAAGGACATTATGTACTGAGTTTCATTATCAAGAGCTGCTGATTATTTGATTATTTATTATCAAACCCCCCACACCGAAACATGTTCTCCTTGCAGTTCTGACTATATGTTGATTTTATCGTGGAAATGTGACTAGACTTTTATTTTTTCAACCCTATTCATATAGTATTTTAACTTTATTTAGACATTTTAGCTTTCCAACATGCTGAGTCTGTTCTAAAGATTCCAAAATAAAATAATATAAAAAAATCCTCTTCTGTTGTGTTTTTGTTTGACATCTACTCAAAGTCTGGACTCTGTAGGGAAATAGATTTATCATGACTGAGAGCTTATCAGAAATAAAACACTGGACAGTCATTTGACTTTCTGTAGTTTCTACTTCAACATGACATCGCAGCACCAACAGCTGGTGACATTTGGTAAAGTGGTTTCCAATGTTTCTGTACAGTAACATGAATCAGCAAGAAGAAGCTTCTGTCTCGTCTGTCACTACAGATCACTGTGACTGCTTTCTCTTTCAGCACTGTGAACGCTGACATGTATCATGTCCAAAGACTAAATGTAAGTTGCATGAAAATAATTTCATTTTCAGATTAAAATCAATTAATTGTGAAAAAAAAGTGAATTCCTTCAATCAGCTGGCAGAGGTTAAATATCTATAATTATTAAAGCTTCATGCAGACTTTGATGAACTTTAACAGATAAAGTAAAGGTGTTAAGAGATCTCGATGACAGCTCTTTCTTCCCCTATCGCTCTGTTGTGTTGTTGGAGTTGTTTAACGCAGTGATGATCACAGCTCAGTGTGTAGGTTTCAAAGGAGGTGTGTTTTTTGTGTCATGACTCATGGAAAGTTCCTGAGTCACTGATGATAGAGCCTCGAATGAGTCAGGACAGACGGACAGACAGACATGAGAGGGACAGACAGACAGGTAAGAGAGACAGATGGAAAAGATATACTAGAGAGGCAGACATGTAGAAAGGACAGACAAAGCAGACAGAGAGAATGGGGGGGGGGTGAAAGAGACAGACATGTAGAGAGATTAACAGGAGAGAACAAAACAGGAGAGAGACAGACAGTTCGAGAGGCAGACAGGAAATGGACAGACAGAGAAGCAGAGACAGGAAAGAGACAGACAGGTAGGGAGGGAAACTAGGAGACAAGTCAGAGAGGCAGACAGAAGAGAGACAGAAAGGACTCAGAGAGAGACAGACAGTTGAAGAGTCACACACTAGAGAGACAGACAGGTGAAGAGTCAAACAATAGAGAGAGAGAGAGACAGACAGGTGAAGAGTCACCCACAGACAGTTAGTCACACATGAGAGAGACAGACAAGTGAAGAGTCACCCACAGACAGTCACACATGAGAGAGACAGACAGGTATAGAGGCAGACTGAACGGAAATGAAAGCTGTGGGAGTAGATTTAATTTTACAAATCACAGCAGGAGTGTGTTCTACAGCTCCGTGATGAGATAAGAGGACAGTAAATGAAGGTGTGTGTGTGTGTGTGTGTGTGTGTGTGTGTGTGTGTGTGTGTGTGTGTGTGTGTGTGTGTGTGTGTGTGTGTGTGTGTGTGTGTGTGTGTACCTGTGTGCGTCTGGTGGGTGTATGGACGATCACGCTGAGTTATTGATGGCTAAAAATATATTAAGCTTAAAGTTAAGCTGCCTTGTAATAACCAACATTTATCAGCAGGGGGTGAGTGGACGGTGACTCACTGAGCTCGGCAGTATTAATAATGAACTGTTACTGTCTGCACTCTGAAGAGGTGAAGAACAAGTAGGAGCTATAGCAGAACTGGTTCAGGTACAGATCAGGTGCAGGATGTGAGGGAATAGGAGGAGGAGGAGGAGGTGAGGATGGTACTGAGGAAGAGGGGAAGGTCTGGGTGGAGGGATGGACAAGTTGTTACAGAGACAGGTAAAAAACAAATTAAATCTCAGATGGAGAAAACCTGAAACAAAGGGATGACCAGTGGTGTGGAATTGTTTTTCATGTCACTATGATACTTGTCAGAGATGTGTGATAACTTCCTCATGGTGTCTTCACTTACATCCCAAAGCTATATTTAGATGAGGTTTTTTTTTTTCTTTCTGAGCAGCATCACCTTTTGTTCCCAGTGAGCCGTGTGTGTGTGTGTGTGTATGCCTCCTGCTGAAGTACAGCTCCCAGCATCTTTTTTTTGTAGCACTCTGCCCTTTTTATGAGGCTGCTCAGAGTGATTCAAGCTGAAAGTCTGAACTTTTCACAAAGTTGCTGGTGTCAACACTGCTCTTTTTTTCAGCCAACCAACAGAAAAGAGCAATACTTGTCTACCTGGTTAACAAAGGTGTACAGGAGAAGCTTGATGTAGCTGTGTCCATCTGTCCAGAGCTGTTCAATATGTCAGAGAGAGAGAGGAGCATGTAGGAGCAGCTCCATTTATGACAAGATGAGGATATTCAGTGAGATATTGTAGATAGAGGTGTGCAACACAGAGGGGCTGCACACCCTGACCCCCCAGCATGATGTCATGTTTGGCTGTGGTTTCAGCTGGTGTTAAACTGTAGCTGATGGGTCAGGATTTTCAAAATACAAAAGGGGTGAAATGATAGAGATGACAGGATGTTTTGAGTGTGAGGTCTGCCTCATGTTAATGAGATTCAAATCTGTTCTCTGAGCCAGGACATGAAGCTTCTAATGGACATGCTGGTCCAGATAAGAGACCAAAACCGGGCGCAGGGGGTAAACTGTGGTTACTGAGCAGGCGGAGGGGGTTCATTTTTATTTAGTGTGAATGGACTGCAGAAAGAGACTGTGGTCTACACATCATCAAACATGTTCAGTATTTACTATCTGATCTCCTGTTGTGTGGCTGTGTTTTCGATGCCAATAAAGCCCTTTTGAACCCTGAGGACAGCCCAGCGCACACACTCATGAGGATTATCACAATAAACTAAATATTTCTCTCAACCTCTAAAGTCTTATTTGATGGTGAGAGAAATAGTGCAATTTCCAGTTTTTAGAGTCAGGACTCTGATTGTTGGTAATGAATCTGATGTGCTGTGTTAGTCATACGGTTTGCTCTCCACACACACAGGAACAAAACTGTTTAATCCCTCATTTGTCCTCATGTGTGGGGCTGTCTCACATTTGTTAAGATCTTATATCTTCTTTTAGTGTGGGCCAGACTAAGACAGGCATGTTAAATGGTCACAGACTATAAATGTTGTAATTTTGAGCATCATTTTGTATATGTCCCATTACAAATCAGTCTTGTAAAAACATACACAGCTGCAGAAATGTGCAGATGAGAATATTCAAATCCCATGCGTGCAGCTTTTGTGGAAACAGAAAGTACAATTTGAGCTTTATGTAGCGTTGAACCTGTTCTCGGTTAGTGTGGGTGAAAAGAGACAAAAATAGAGGATAAAAGATCCAAACCCTGAGAGAAAACACCACATGAAGGCTGGATTCAAACCGTCTCTGTGAGGTGACAGAGCTAACCACCAGACTGCACCCCACCAACACACACCAACCAAGTTTGTGACGATTACAAAGTACAAAATAGCAGCAGGAGCGGGCCTCAGCGGGGGAGGAGAGAGACGTCGTGCACTCTGCTCACATCCAAAGATTTGTCCTGATTCGTTTCCAGAGAAACATAAAGAGAAGCTGAGGGAGACGGAGACAGTCGAGTCGAGTGCTGCCAGGCGGAGAGTCTAAATTTAAACCCTGCTGCAGCAGTCTGCAGCCTTCTGCTGCTCACTGAGGAGACTTTCCCCGCGGCACGCCGCCATGCTGACTCTCCATCTGGGAGAGCTTCTTCCCATCTTACAGGTGTGTGTGTGTGTGTGTGTGTGTGTGTGTGTGTGTGTGTGTGTGTGTGTGTGTGTGTGTGTGTGTGTGTGTGTGTGTGTGTGGGAGAAATACACAGAAACTAAGAAAACATGAAAACCAATAGGCCAATGTGAAGAACTATGACTTAGTATAAAAACACTAAGTCTATATCAACAATCTTAATATCCAAAGAAACTGGGCCTGAGAGAAGTTTGTATTTGAAAAGTTTTATCAGCTAGCCTATATTCAATGATTATTAATGACTGTTCCAGTAAAACTTCATTACCATTGCCTTTAAGAGAACTACAGAGTAACATCTTAAACTCTAGAGGTGGGAGGAGAGGAATGATACAGCATAGTATCAAGATATTTTATGTGGCGATATTATATCCTGTCATGGCGGCCAAGCTGGGGATCAGACACTCAACCGGAGGCGACGACTCTGAGCCACAGCCGCAAGAATTGTCCAGTGCTTTGTTAAATTGGCTAATGTTGGATAAAACTGTTCAGTGTGAGTAGTCCCATCTCCTTTTCACTGCACTGATGTTGTTACAGTATGCAGACCTCATTTCCAGCCCAATGAGAGATTCAATCCAAATAAAGTGTTTTCTTTAATGAGGACTTACTGTTGGTTTGAGTCCAGTCTGTCGGATAATGTTGTTGTTGTTATCAGAGTCACCACGACGACAGAATCAGCATGTGTGTTTGTTTTTAAACTGTGCTTACATCAGAGCTTTGATGTCAGAAATGGAATGTGATGATGTCACAGAATTAAGGTCACAGAACAGATCATCTGAACTCAGGCTCATTATCTCGGATTTTATCAGAATCATCTGCAGCTGTTCCAGGTAGACGTTTTCAGGTTTGAAAACATTTAACAAAAATGTCCACAGATAGTGATAGCGATAGTGAGAGAGAATTCTCCTCTAGGTCTGAACAGGGGCTTGCAGTCCACTGGGCACCTGCAACAGACCACCTGTACAGTGCGTTTGGATCAACCAAAGAAGGTCTGTATAAGAATTTAACAGATCTACAGCTTCATCACACACAGCTGCAGACAATGTATACAGATCTGAAGATGGACATGGATGATGTGGAGAAAGAGAACAGGGGGCTCAACAATAAGTTGTCAGATTTAAAGCACACAG